AATGATCAAGTTCATGTAAATTATGGCATTTCATATGTTAATCCAGGAGCCCACCTATACACAGGTTGTTTTCTCCAAGCAAGAAAAACTAAAAGCAGACTTTTATTATGCGCACAAGCTTATACAAGAAGCTTCATCAGTGTCCTATTTATTTCACCAAGCCTCCTTATGGAAACTCCCGCTAGTTCATTTGCAGCCATAGTGGGATATCCCTTGAAAGATATCCCATATCTTTATTTTATTTCATTAAAGATTTATTGATTTTTTTTTTTAAAGGAAGACCATTGTGATGTTTGTATTAGAGGAATTAAGGTTATAATTCTCCACAATCAAGTCATAATAAAATATGCATAAATGGCAATAGAATGTAGCCATCAATTGAACAAGCCTCTATAAAATTCTTGCTGTTTTTGTATATTAATCTTCTTTTCTATTTTTTTTGCACTATGTTTGCATATATTTCACTTATTTCATAACACATGGGATTTAGAAAGGTTGATGTACACAATTTTACTTTTCTTATAAGTAAAGGACGCTTTAAAGACTTGAGACATCCTCCAAATCATATCTAAACATTGCACCAGGCCTGCACTAGATGTACCATGAAAAGTTAAAGCTTATACAAACACTTAGCCAACATCCAACCTTTTAATTATCAATAACAATAATCACAGTTATCGATAACTTCTATAGCTAGTATCACCATTCATATGGAATCCCACCATTCACCATCATCACACATAGCTTGGTTTGAGTTTTATTTTAGAGTTCTTAGCAAAATATTAGGACTTTAACATAGCCATATCACTCCTAATTTGATTTACACCTCTTTTGAAGTAGTGGTTGCATCTCAGGAAAACCAATCAAAGCGCATGCAACATTTCTCAGAGTTTAGACTCTGCATTGGGCAATCTGGCTCACGTTAAAAAGCCCAATCAAACTTGTTTCTGCGTTGAATGAGCAATTTAGGTTTCTTTTGGGATGGCTTTCTTACTGCTTCTTAAAGCAGCTTTTTAATAAAAAATCTTAATTTTTATACTAGTAAGAAAGCCGTCCCAAACGAAATCTTAGTCTAAAAATTGATGACTACAGAAAAGCATTTTAATTATGAATTACTGACATGTTACCCTAATAATCTCATTCGTACCATGACTGATCACTACTTCATTCTTTTCCAAAGTAGTATTATCCACAGTTGTACCATACTAAAGCTGCTGCCACAAATCAACTGCTTTTCAACTATTTCACATTGGTTGTCACAAGTGGCTAGGCCTATAAATGAACTACTGCACCTGATGAACAGGTCAAAAGCCTAAAAAGAAAGACAAAGAAGAGTAGGGGGACTACAGTAGTTTAAGTTCCACCTATCGCATGCAGCCGCGCATCCGAGTAAAAGCCACCAGTAGCAGCTACCCAGTAGAAGAAGGAATGAATTAGTCAACGGGGAAGAAGGAAGAATGGACAAGTTTGTCTTTGCATTGATTTCCGAGACTTGAAAAAGAAAAAGGCTTGCCACTTTCCACTGCCACACATTGATATCTTCGTGGATAAGACCGCTGACTACGAGATGTTATCATTCATGGACGCTTTCTCCGGGTATAACCAGATTAAGCTCGCTAAAGAAGACCAAGAGAGGACATCATTCAAAAAAGCCTGGGGAACCTACTGCTATGTTGTCCTGCCATTCAGACTTCAAAATGTTGGAGCCACATAGAAAAGGGCCATGACGGCCGGCCGCTTGTTTGTAAAACGCTCATTTATTTTCATCATTGAATGAGCTTGAACAACGACTTGTTTATTTATTTATGTTCATAAACATACTGTTGTTTGACACTTATCTCACCAAGAATTTGATTTAATGCTCATTTAACAATAACTTAATTACTTATTTGATGATTGATACTGTCTTTGTATTAATTTTTATTTATTTTATACACTTTAAAAATTATATATTGCTCTTTAAATTTGAATTAGTGATATAAAATAAACAGCTCAATATGTGAATTTAAACATTTTCTTATTACTCATTAAAATTTCACCAAACAACTTAAATAATACCAAATGATTATTTCAATTTTAATTAAAATCTATAAATCCAATTATTATTAGTTATTAGGCTATATATTTAAATCATTAGCATCAACCAAATAATTAATTAGACCTAAGTAAAGTTCAATTACGGCTCAAACACAATAAATAAATAAATAAATAAGCAAGCTTGAACAAGGTAGTACTTAGCTCAACAAGCTTGATTTTCAACCATTCACTCAATAAGAAAAGAAATACGAACAAGCAAGATAAAATGATCCTCTTTCGAGAGAAGAACCTTATCTCCCAAATCCTAGATGCCACTAGAATCCCTCACAAAAATAGTGAACAACAAAACCTCACAAAATTTTGCATAAAAAAACATAACCCTAACCCTAGGGTAAATCAACAACTTAAAGCAAGCACGAAATAGCAAATACCCAAACAGCCCTTCTCCAATTTCCTACCAAATCTTCCATATTTTCTTAATTATTTCCCTCCCAACTCAACCTCAAATCAGCCCCCAAATCTACCATCATTAATTAGGAAATATTTTCTAATTAATCCCCTCAAAATAAGCCCCCAAATCTGTCATCTTCAATTAGGAAATATTTTCCAATTAATCCCCTCCAAATCAACCCCCAAATCTGCCCTCTTCAATTATGAAATATCTCCTAATTAAATCCTCTTTGATTAAGAACCTTCCTAAACAGCTCCCCCTTGATTAGAAAACTTCCCAATTCCCTCCAATCAAATCAGCTGATCCATCAATACTCCCCTCCCAAAGTGTCACTTGTTCTCAAGATATATATCCAGTTCTTTTACCCTACACCAGTTCTTTTTTTTTAGACATATAAGATATATATCCATTATTATAATTGATGAGGACATCTACCAGGGATTCAGACATGTGTATCATCGGAGAATCGTAGATCGATGGCTATGATTCAGAGGTTGTATTTTTTTATATATTTTCTATTCTATGTATTATGTTGCATTTGATTTTTCACATTTTACTCCTATGAGGAATTGAGCCTATGTTGTAGCCCGAGGGCACTTTAGTCTTTTTGGTTTTTCTTTTATTTGGGTCTATTTATATGAGGCTCTTGCATTGTATGGGATGATGAATGATTAATGAAAATTTCTTATGTTTTCTTCTTCTTCTTGTGTGAGCAATAGAGAGAAGGGAAAGAGAGCTCAAAGTGAGAGCAAGCGCAATAACCACCAATCATTGGAAGAGTCTGCGGCTCGTGGTTTAGGTTCTTTTCTTTTCTTTTCCTCTCTTGGCCACCCCACCCGCCAACTCCTCCTAGTCCTTCCACCGCTGGCCATCTTCTCCACCCAAATCACCCCAAAACTCCACCTCCCCAAGCCCACCCGCCAACCTAGCCCATCCAACCCAACACCTAGCCACCCCCTTCCCCTTTGCTACCGGCCTCCCCTCTTGCTCCCATTCAATTATGATGATTTCAATCATCATAACTCCCTTCCTAAATTAACTCAAGTAATTAAGGGAGAGCTTTAAGTCATTTGAAATTCAAATTCGAATTTCAAATACTTTCCTTAACCCGACACCTAGCCGCCCCTTCCCCTTTGCTGCCAGCCTCCCCTCTTGCTCCCATTCAATTATGATGATTTCAATCATCATAACTCCCTTCCTAAATTAACTCGAGCAATTAAGGGAGAGATTTAAGTGATTTGAAATTCAAATTTGAATTTCAAATACTTTCCTTATTTAAAAATCCAAATAAGAAAAGTTTAGTCATGAATCCAATTTAAAAATAAATTAAATTGGATTTCTTATTTACTTTCCTAGTCTACAAAGATCTATCTGGAAACTCCCAAAATCTCTCCATAACCCCTCTTTCCATTCATGAAGCCGTCGGCCCCATTAATGGGCATGACCATGGTTTTTCCTAATGAGGCCCTAGCTCTCATTTGAATTTGAATTTAAATTTCCACTTGTATTCCCCGCCAAATTTAATTAAATCTGAAACTAATTTCAAATTTATGAGAAATCTCCTCTCCCAATTTTAACCTAACCGAGAACCCCCTTTAACAAGCCGTCCCTCTCTCCCTCCTTGGCCGTCCCTCTCCTCTTACCACCTCGCCCTTGGAAACCTTGGCCCGCTCGTGAAACTTGAAGTCAAGAGAAGAAGACAAACTCCTCCCTCATTCTCATCGTTGATGTATGGCCGATCCTGAGATCGACCACGGCTTCGCCTAAAACTCCCAAGGGGAAATCAACATTCTCCACTCCCCTTTCTACGAACCGGACTGGGAGTACGACGACTCGATGGAAGACTACGTCAACCGCATTCTCTAATGCCTAGCAAAGGCGATCGAGCTTCAACAACCCAAGGTACCTTGGCGTCTCATCGGGAGATCCACTCCTCCTCCATCGCCGACGACCTTCTCTTGGATTAAAGCCTTTGGTGTCGCAACCATCTTAGCGGCATCGTTTAGTGTGCTGAAAGCTTCTCTCCGCTAAAACCCTAGACTGAGTGTGAGTGAGAATGGTAACTCTGGATAAACTCTCTAGATATTAAACTTTGGATTTAATTACAGCATATCTAGTATTATTGTGATAAATTTTGAATTGTCTCATCGTGTCCTTATCTCTTAGTTTTGCAACTGCATGCCAAGGAAAATCTACTGACTAAGAATCCTTTTAATCATGCCTTACGACTTATTAAACTTAAACTAGCATGCTTCATAATGCTTTTATTAATTTCTTGCAATTCTTAGTTGGTTTCACATCAATCTCCCGAACTCACCCTGTATTCTTTTCAGTTAAATCATAACAATTGAATGATAAGTTGGCAGAAATGAAAAGAAAAGTTTTCTACACCAGGAATAAGCTAAGAGTATACAATGCATGCATAAAAAGATAGATATAGATGGTTCCAAAAAGGAATATGAAGTTATCATAAAATAATTACCCAAACAATAGACATTGATATAAATATTACCAAGTAAAAACCATTGTAGACATATGATCCTTTCATAACCATCATGAAACAAGGGTTCTCTGACTTAAAGGATTGTGCCTTTGCAAGAGCATCATCTCTTTCCTTTTGTGTTACAGGTCGTCTTTGGGATACAAAGCCTCGGTACCGCTTTTTCCGAGAAGCATCTACAGCAAGGAAGACATCTAATTATATGCATATTGAAGGTACATAAATATTCAAAAAATGTAACTACTAGAAATAATGATAAAAAGCAATCTTACCATTTGCTCGATTATCTGAGAGCACAAGGTTAGCGTCACTTGGGCATTCAATTGCGTTGTTAAATAGATTGGAGGAGTCCCTAGAATGGTCTGAACAGGTGCTAGTAATAGAAAGTGAAACTCAAAACAAGTGCCTCGTATCAAAATTACAGATGCCTACATTATTTTCAACTAAAAAACTGTGTGAGATTATTGTAAAATGGGAACTGACCTAGTCTTCCGGAAATCAAAGCTTGGGCAGCCTGCCTTTGCATGGACCACATTCTTGCCATGAAAACCTCACTGCATTCATTGTTTGTGCCCGGTAGAGTTCTTGTCCTCTTCTTCACAGGCTGATTTGTTCCAACATAAGAATTATCTTTTTTCTCTTCCTTCACTCTCTCATCAAAAGAAAAGCTAACCTTCTCATCGCATGTAGGCCGGGCAAAGAAAGCTACCTCCTTCTCACATGCAGTGTTATCAAAAATCATTACAGAGAATGTTGAATTGCCATTGTACTCGAAGAGAAGAAAATCCCCGGCGGCGAGAGCATGATCTAATGCGAACGTTTCCCACCCATCTGAAAAGAACAATCCATCTGGTTTCTTCACTAAATCCACACCCCAAATGAACTCGCTCGGCCCCTTTAGGTAAAATCTTGCAGGGGCTCGGCCCTCGACGTGCCGGTGAAACGCCGGCGGGATCCTCTGCAACCAAGACAAGATCAAACTTTGCATTAAAAATTCACCGCAATGCTTCGATAGGAAATAAAGTTTGAAGTTCTTGAACAAAGATCCTGTGTTTGCGGAGAATGAATCGTTACCATGTGCGTTGAGGAGAGATTTGGTAAATAGATTTTGAAGAAGTGATAGCTTCGGCGAGGAGTACTCTCGGGGGGACTGTTTGATTTTGGCATTTGATATGATTCTGCTTTGTTTCTCCCTGCAACTCTTCCTATACGTGTCTCATGAACCAAGTGCTTAGGGTTTACGTCGGTGGGGTGGTCGGAAGGAAGATGACCACAATGAGACGACTTTCACCGTTGGCTTCTTGTTTAAGTATAACTATGTTCGTCGGCACGGCAAAATCAAACATATAAATTTGATAGGATAACGTTACAGATGCCTACCAAACAAAAAAAAAAAAAAACCTTAAACAAAGTAAAGTCGAAATTATTCAAATCTCTAATCTACTCCATCTTAATATTAATCGTGACAGAAGTTGCCTAATTCAAAGCAACTTCAACGGATTGGACTAGATTCTGTTGGATTTTTTTTAGCCGTTACATCGGCCAAAAATCCACCCGAAGGATAACAATATAATTACTTAATTAGGACAATTTCAATCAATAAGAATACATGATTTTAATAATTTCTATTCACTAATAAATTATTAAAGCATTTAAATTCAGACACATGCTAAATATTCATCAAATGTAAATAAAAATTTACTATACCATTAAATCAATTAAATAACTCTAATAATAATTACATAACAAAGTTGAACATGATGCATAAACCTAAAAGTTCTCGGATAAGTTGAACAACTAGCAACTCGAAATCATAAAATAATAGCTGTAAGTTTGCAAGAAATAAACTCAATGTGTGAAAACTCACCAAGTAAAACATAAACAACAAGGCGTGGGCATAAATATGAGCAAAAAGATGGGTATAAGTAAAAAAATAAACACTCGACTATAATAACTTCAAATAATGTATAAGATATGAGATTTTTTGGAATCTATAATGTAATTTGCTAAAGCTTCTTATACAACATAATTCATTAATTCATAAAGAATTTTTTGTGTCAACCAATAATCATTGCATTTGAATGTCAACCAATAATCATTGCAAGTAGCGTGAGGCGACGATGTTAGGAACGAGATCGGGTAAACGAAAAATTGAAACGATTTGGTCCAGTCTAAAGATAAAAATGGGGTTATTACAGCAGCTTTAGCATCACAAAAACTAAGAAAAGAAGTGAAGTGAATAGAATTAAATATTGTTGGTTTGATGTTTATTTGATTTCGATTTTAAGGAAGCAAACAATTGATCGAAGTGGTTGGTTTTGACTCTTAATTATAAAAGGACTATTTGGTTTCAAGTAATCTAGACTAAAGTAAATTAAATATAGTATTATTGCATCCTGAAACATTCATGATGGCAGAGAGATAAAGAGTTTAGCGTACAAACTTTGTGCGAAGATACATCACATAAACAAATAAGAAAGAGGGGTACAAGAGTCACAAGAGACACTAAAATTTTTACATTAAAAATTCTGAAGATTGGCATGAGGCCTAGCCTAGTTAAAATGATTAAACTAGTATTTATTATTAATTACAAATGAGACCTTACTTTGAGGGGAGGCATTTGATTCGATGTAGAAAATATATATCATATAGAGATTGTTACATGTTGGGAGTTGAAAGAATCTAGTGATATAAGAGTAGTTCTCAAAAGAGTGTTAGTATGTTTGTTTGATCGGTAGGACTGTAGTCGGGCAACAGTGGTGAAAGGGACCGTAGTTAGTTGGTGATAGAGGTCAAAGGGACTATAATTCACGGGCGACAAAGGTCAAAGAGATCGTTGTAGGCGAGCAACTGAGGGACTGTAGTTGACGGTTGGTAATGATCAGAGGAACCGTAGTCAGCAGGCGATGATGGTCGGAGGGACCGTAGTTGGCGAGTGACGGTGGTTAAAGGGACTGCAGTCGACGAGCGATGGTGGTCGGAGGAGCCGTAGTTGATGGCAACGGTGGTTAAGGCACTATAGTTGACAGGCGGTAGAGGTCGCATGAATCGTAGTCGGCGGGTGAAAGTGATTGGAAAGACCGTAGTTAGTGGGCGATAGTGATCGAATGCACCATAATCAATTGCAACTGGGTGGAGGTTTGATGGCGGTGAGCAAAGATCTGACGGTGATGATTAATACATAATTTATGATTTGTATGGGCAATGATCATTCTTAGCAATTAAAAAAATGCAAGCTAAACATCTAAAATTTTATACTGCAAAAAAACATGAAGTTAACCATCAAAATCATGTCAAGTTGAACAATTGGGGTTAATGCGAACAAATAAGCATACTCTATCATATTTTATCAACAATTAAAGCATACTAATGAATATCGAGGAGTGCACCATTAAATTAACCATACGTTCAAGGCATTACATATTAAAGCATTAAATGACTACAAAAATTAATCAAAACTATTTGTGAAGTAAATGATTCAACAATCTCTCCCCCAATTGGCAATGAATTATATTTAATAATTTATATATAAATCTTAATCTCATATATACAAATCATTAAATGCCATCCCTATACTTTTACAATTAAAATATATAGAAGTTTCCTCAATTCTAATCACCATGAAACTATATGAATGACTAATTACTAAATGAGGAAACAATAATGTTAGGGTTTCTAACTCATCTTAACAAAAAAGAGGAAGGAGGTCAACTTCATGGGTAATCCTTATGGTTCCCTCTTCAAACATTAATTAACTATTCCTATTCCTTGCAAGCTATGAAACAACCTCTTTCAAGCTTCTAATCTTAGAACAAAGGAGATAATGGTGGTGTAAGAAATAAAAATAGGAGAAGAAAGTGTCAATGGTTGCTTATCTTTCTACCTCCATCGACTTCCTCTTCATCGACCTTGCCAGCGCCATGAAAGCAAAGCCACCAAACCATGAAGAAGCTGACCATGGCCACTCCTCTCACTTGTTGGCACATCCTGTGCCATAAAAGGCTAATGTTAATCACCACGCCTTTTATTTCCCGCCTGCACAATGAATCACTGCCTCTCGTTGTATGAAAAAGACACAATATCTAATTTGAAATCCAAGAAACACCTTATGTCCGCTTGTACAAATGTAACGGATCCGAAGACATTTTATTTCTTTATTTATTTTATTATTTTATTAAGTACTCTTTTTTTAATAGATATTACATTTATTGAGAACAAGAATAATCTTCATTATAGTGTCTATCAAGTGTACTTTGGATTTCATGAGTGAGAATCCTCTTATGCCTTAACAATCTTGTTGAAAAAGCTCACCTCCTTTGATATATTTCAAAACAAAATATATCTTTTTTTTTTTTAGACATGAGTTCTCAAAATTGTGTAATATTTGGATGTTTCATCAATCCCATTATTGAGATCTTACGTTTAATTTGACCCATGAGCCCAACCTTGAAGGCTTAGGCTAAGGTGACTTACTGGCAATAAAAATTTGATGATTCAGTTTTGTATCTTTATCTTAGCCAAAATTATAAATACATGAACCACCTATTTCAAAATTGAACTAGTTTCCTATAATGTCGAGCTTCTTTTTACAAACATTATACTATTCTCATCCTCTAAACTTCTGATGTAGGGTATCGGTGGAGGAATAAGAGAGTTAGCAAGAACGAATCAACAAAGAACAAGAACATCGAAATTGGTTCTATAAGAAGTTTGTATATTTCATTCTATCTTCTATCTTCCCTGGATACAGTCATATATGCTTTTCTGTAAGAGTGCTAGAAATAGAAATAACTACTAAAGCAAGTGTAGTACTGTAGCATAATGAAAAAGGAAACTAGAGTAGTGGAAACTAACTATAATGCATAACTAAAATAAAGGTATTAATGCTAAGACATATTATAAGGTAAAGTGTTCCCTTATCCTCATCAACTTCATTTAGCAAATCCAAGTAAATCAAACTTCTTACATTCTTTTGCATATTTCTTCATACCTCCTCTCTTCAAATCTCTAATATTCATCATATATTTTGTATATCAACCAATTGGTTTAAGATTGCAAATGTTAGAGAGAGAGAGAGAGAGAGAGAGAGAGGAGGGTCAAATTAAGAGACATTTAGAATAGCATTTGCTATGATTTTATTGATAGCATTTGTGGCATGAATTCCATCCCAACTCACATAGATTTTTGGATCACTACAAACATTTGCGGTCACATTATAATTCATCCATTATCTTTTATCAATTTACTTTTATTATGCTCCTCATCATTCTACCAAATGTTATTCAGCATAAAAATTTTTTGCACACCATCTCAATCCAAAGACTATCTTGAAGGACCTCAAGTGTCTCCAAACCTAACCTGTTCTTATAATTAAGAGATTCCAACATATCATATAAGCAATGACTTTTTTTTTTTTTTTACATCAAAGATGTTGAAAACACAAACCCATATGTTAATATCTTTTTTATTTTTATTTTTTTGTTATTTCATATTTATAGACGCGTTGCAAGAGATTTGTTTTCCCCATACCACCATGACCCACTATATAGAGAAGAGAACTGTTGTCGTACAAAGTAGTTTAATTTTTTTTTAAAATCATTTTTTATTGATCTTTTTTTTATTCATTAGTAATTCAATTCAAATTCAAGAATTCTTCAAAAATTATTTAATTTAAGTTCAAGAAATCTCCCCAAATAATTTAATTTGAATTCAAGAAATATCTCAAAATTAGTTTGTTTAGACTTTTGAGCATCAAAATTTTGACAGCATCCTAGCATCTCCCCTGTGTTGGGGAAATCTACAGGGATTCTTGCTCACAACGCCAAAAAATTATTTAATTTGGGCGTGCAGGTGGGTTGATAGTGGACTGTTTGAGTGGGGAAGAGAGAATAGGAGTTCGGGTAGAGGGGTGACATCGTCAGCAGGAAAGGGAAGAAGTTTAGGGTGGTTGGCTTGCTCCCAGTAAGTGAGTTATGAAGAGTTCTGTTGAAGTGATAGTGGGGAAGAGGTATGAAAAAGGTACAGGTTTGTATATATGAGGAGCTTGCAAAACGAGTCGAGCTCGTGCTCGTGCACGGATTTTGAGCTTGAGCTCGAGCTCGGTATCTGGCAGTCGAGCTTGACCCAAACAACCTCTGGCTCGAACTCGACTTGACTCGTTTGCATCCCTGTGTGCAACTGATTCGAGTGGTGCAAGTTATCAGGCGTTCGTGTATTTGAGACGAGAGGATGTGTGACTTGGGAGCTTGTGGCTGCTGTGGTGTCGTGGACCGTCAGCTGCAGATGTGAGGTTCGGCTGTTTGGAGGATAGAGGGAGGGAGAGTGAAATCTGGGCGTGGGCTTGCAAACGGCTTGTGAATAGGAGTGAGAGAGTTACGGATTGTGGATGAATCAGAGAATGGAGCTATTATTCTACGCAGACACTAACGGGAGACAGATGGTTCTCCCATCCTATTAAACACTCACTATCGAGCGGTTTCGAGCGTGGGTACCGAGCGTGATACATTTTTGGGGTGACGTGGCATATTTTTATTAGTCTCCAGACGCCCTTTGACTCGATCCTCACAGAATAATAAATCCAGAGAGATAGGTATTAGGATTTTTATTAGTCTCCGGACACACGGTGTGACAAGCGTGTAAAGACACGTAGGAGTTTAACACAAGGCAATAACATAATCACTCAAGCATCTTCGTTTGACCATCATTCATTGCTTGATTGTTGTTGCCCAATCATCGTCGCTCAATCACCATTATCTTAATAACATTACATGGCTAGCTAATATCACCAAATTATTGTCACATAACCATCACAGCCCGACCGTCATTACCATCCACTCAGGGGTGGCAGTTGTCTCCCTAAGAAAATAAGGCTTTGTTTGGGACAGCTTTCTTACTGCTTCTTAAAACGGCTTTTTAGTACAAAAATTTTAACTTTTTAACTAGAAAGCCATTTTAAGAAGCAGGAAGAAAGCCGTCCCAAAAGAAGCCTAAATCTTTTTATTTTCTCACAAATCATCAATATATTGCTCTCAAGTGCATTGCCAAAAGCACCGAGCCGCTCAACAGCGAAACGAGTCGAGCTCGAGCTCGGTATTTGGCGGTCTAGCTCGACTTGAACAACCCCTGGCTCGAGCTCGACTAGACTCGTTTGCATCCCTACTTGCAACTGATTCGAGTGGTGCAAGTTATCAGGCGTGTATTTGAGACGAGAGGATGTGTGACTTGGGAGCTTGTGGCTGCTGTGGTGTCGTGGACCGTCAGCTGCAGATGTGAGGTTCGGCTGTTTGGAGGATAGAGGAAGGGAGAGTGAAATCTGGGCTTGGGCTTGCAAACGGCTTGCGAATAGGAGAGAATGAGAGAGTTACGGATTGTGGATGAATCAGAGTGGAGCTATTATTCTGTGCAGACACCTAACGGGAGACGGACCGTCCCATTAAACACTCACTATCGAGTGGTACCGAGCAGTTTCGAGCGTGGGTATCGAGCGCAGTACATTTTTGGAGTGACGTGACATATTTTTATTAGTCTCTGGACGCCCTCTGGACTCGATTCTCACTGAATAATAAATCCAAAGATATAGGATTAAGATTTTTATTAGTCTCCGGACACGCGGTGTGACAAGCGTGTAAAGACTCGTAGGAGTTTAACACAAGGCAATACCATAATAACTCAATCATCTTCGTTTGACCGTCATTGCTTGATCATCGTCGCTCAATCACCATTATCTTAATAACATTACATGACTAGCTAATATCACCAAATTATTGTCACATAACCATCGCAGCCCGACCGTCATTACCATCCACTTAGGTTGGCATGCAGTTGTCCCCGGCCCTAAGAAAATAAATCTTTTTATTTTCTCACAAATCATCAATATATTGCTCTCAAGTGCATTGTCAAAAGCACCTAATTTTTCAACCTACATACGAATTAGACTTCATGATTTTAATATATTTTTTTTGATTGAAGGCCGGTGTTTTGAATTTTGTTTTATATATTTTTCTATTTTTTACAAAGTTTTTCCCTCTAAGAACTAAAGCTTGGTCCGCCCTTTCATCCACTATTTCTCCAACAATCTTTGCCATAATCATAATAGTCAAGGCTCGTTTAAGACTGTTTTTTTATTGCTTTTTAATTTTTGTACTAAAATTCAATTTTAAGAAGCAATAAACAAGCAGTTCCAAACAAAGCCTAAGCTAATATTTTCAACTTTATACTATATCATTTCATTCACTTTGTTTTCACATTATGCCCAAACAGGTGGCACAACAGGAGGATTATCCCAAGATTTTTTTTATCAATAAGTAGTATTAAAACATAAAAGTCAATTAGCATTGAATTTAATATACAATATATTTTTTCTTTAGCCATAAGATATTTTACGATGTCTCTTTCTAATTTCTATTATGTAAAACAATCATTAGAATATATTTTTATTAAAACAAAGTATTATTGATATTTTAATGCAATTCTCTTCAAGTATATAGGCCTATTATTTTAAATATAAATAATTTTCAAAACCTTAAATCTAAAGAAAATTAGGAAATATTTACTATCTATTAAGAAAAATATTTAGGTTATAAGTCAATATTTTTGAAAATAATTGCCTATAGGCCATAATTAATATAGATGGAAATTGGAAAGTCAACTTTTTCCTTGCATTTCACAAGGAATTATAGACTTCAATTATAATGTGATCAGAGGACTTACACCTAACTCTTAAATTATCAATAAAATCGCTTCTTCTAATTTGTTACTCCAAACTAAAGTGCGAACACTGATCCGACCCAAAGTTATATTTAATTTTAGCACCAAACACATTAAGCGCACTGCCCCAATCCAGGAGAAATTATTCTGTGCCATCTAGAGGCGAATTAGATCGTGTCACGTCATCTGGTACACAACGGTTTCACATCTGCGGTACATAGCAAAGAGGTGACGTGGCGTGCCCTGATTCACTTCAGATGGCGTCCATTTTCACACAGAATAATTTCACCCAATAATCCAGAGGTTTTGATGCTCGCACGGACTTAAAGGCTAAATCATCAGCATTGGGCTAGTCGTCATCTCTTTAGGAGTGTAAACAGGTAAATCCAAGCTCGAGTTACCCTGAGCTTGAGCTTGAGCTCGACTGATTAATGGAGTTCAAGCTCGAGCTCTAGCTGTACTTTACTTGTTTGAGTCGACTCACGAGGCGACTCGTTTATTATGAAAGAGGAAAAACTATAATTATAATTAAAATAATTATTATAATAAAAATAGAAAAAAAATAAAAACTTAGAAGAAAAATAATAAAGAATAACTTAATGTAAGGAATGAGGTGTAAGGTTTAAATATTTATAATATCTTTGTATTTAAAATCCTCAATGCTTATATATTTAATTTTCACTGGTTTTTAAAAAAAAGTCATCTCGTGAGCTAACTAGTCAAGTCAGAATTGGTTCAAACTTGACTCATTAACACACCGAGATCGGCTAAAAAATCATTCATCGAATTGAGTCCTAACCGACTCACGAGTTGATCTGACTCATTTACAACCCTAATTCAGCTTCTTCAAAGTTCCACCAGTTTTTTTAGAGAGTTGAAATGGCTCTGATGAACCGAACTGGGCAAGTCAAAGAGGTGAAAACATCTATATGTTTTTGTTGAAAATATTTAGCTTATTGATTGCCAATTGGTGGTTTTTGTTCTACGTTGACGCCATTTATTTTGAATTGTCGTCTGATTTTTACTAATGTACTGATTAAGAATGTTTGATTTAGGTTTTGTTTGGCACGACGTTTTTATTGCTTCTTAAAACAACTTTTTAGTACAAAATATACTGCATTTTTTGCTTTTGCATCGATAGAGAGACACTGTCGCCATAAATTTTTGCCACACATTGAAGCCACTTGCTCTACAATTGTCGGAAGTGGAGAAAGTGGTGAGAAGAGGAAGGATCACAGAGATCTTACGATCAAAGATGCAAGATACGAATTCAAGACCTTTTAGTTGATAGCTAAATCTCCCAACCCTCACCAATGTGAGCTGCCTAATATAATATCATTTTAATGTATCCAATTAAATAATCCTTAACTAATTAGACAAACTAATAGCAAAGATGCCGAAAAAATGGATGCACCGATTTCAAAAGAATTAACTAGCGTTGAAATATAGATACAAAGCTATAAATGCAGCATATTTTCTTGCTGTACAGGCAAATAAGCCCACCAACCTTTGCATCGATGTCACAAGACTCACGCTTTCTGGTGGAAAGGTTCGCCAAGGGACTCATATGATATCAGTTTTTCTTCTATACAATTTAATGGCTGCTGTTTGGTATGTGGCTATCCTATCTTCCTATTAGTTTTTGCTAGCCTTGCATGGAGTCTATATTCTACTTGTTTAATGCTTTTGTTTTCCTCTTGATATTATTTTGAAGAAAAAGATAAATTATTACGTGCAGTCATTGAACAGTTCGGAGGTCAATCAGAATGCGCCGCGCCACATCACTCGATACATGATGACAATACACACTAACGATACATAGTAAATTGATGATGTGGCCCATCATGATTGGTTCCGGACAGCGTCCGGTGACCGCAGAAGCTGGGCAAGAGATATATAGAGGTGCTTTATATTATGCAAATTTATTATTTTGGGATTCTTATAGCTGATTCTTCATATATGGCTGTTTGAGTACTTTTTCATCACTCATTTTGATTATATTTGACATTTATCATACCGTTTTGTAGAATTTTTAAATTATTAATATTTTTTATAATTATTTATACTCAAATTTTTTTATTATATTGGATGTGAGCTGCTTAAAAAGTCCATTAAATGATGCCACCAACCACCTATGAGGCCTTTAAATGCCTCCTCTGACAACCGAAGCCAATCAATTCCACCTCCTATCCTTAACACTCAAAGCCTCACCCGAATTTTCTCTATTTAAATTAATCACCATACACACCCATTCTCACCACCTCCCTCTCTCCACCATTATGGCTGTCAATAACGGGAAGCCACTGACAACCGCTGACATTGTCAAGATCACGGCGAAGACGACTGTACTGCCAAGCAAAACGTCTGAGAAGCAGGGGAGGGTGGCGTTGGCCACCTTCGACCTGCCGTATATCACTTTTTACTATAACCAGAAGCTGCTGGTGTACAAGGGAGGGGTGGAGGAGTTTGGGGATGTTGTGGGGAAGATGAAGGAAGCGCTTTCGGCGGCGTTGGATGAGTTTTATCCGCTTTCAGGGCGGCTGCTGCAGGAAGAGGAAGGGGTGGTGGTGGTCGACTGTGAGATGGGGAAGGGGGTGGAGGTAGTGGAGGCTGAGGCGGAGGGGTTGGAGGTGAAGGAGTTTGCGGAAGGAGATGAACCGGAGGAGATTATGAAGATGGTGGTGCCGTACACCGGAGTTATGAATCTCGAGGGGATGACTCGGCCACTGCTCGCCGTTCAGGTACGCTGGATCTACAAAAGCTAGTTATTTTTTTAAAAGTTGACGTTTTTTTTGTTCGCCAGAAAGAGAGAAATAACTGGAGCGGATTACTCATGCAAGCGACAGAAAATTTTAAAACAGTTAAATTAAACACAAATTTTGAAAAAATTAATATCCGGTTCAAACTTCAGCTCAATAAAGAGTTGATGAGAGCCGAATTAGATGAACTGACAAGTCAAACCTTAGCCAATCCAAACTCAGATCATTAGCTTGTAAAAGTTTGCTCATTTAAAAACTTAATATAAAATATACATTAAAAAATTATTATCAAATACAAATTTAAGTATAAAATTATTAACAATGTAAAAGGTTATATATAACATTCATATATCAAATGATTTTTTTTCTAATTTTAGATTTTTTTTAATAATTTAATTTGATTGTTTGTGTATATAGAAATTATGTTATTAAAAATAATTATTTGATTCATATTCATTTTATGTATAAATTATTTTGATATTTAAATAACTGTTATATAAACCTGTGAGATTTTGCGAAATGTTAAATATTTTTTTTTAATGTTTATCATTTTCATTTTAATTTAATTTAAAAATATTTTTCTTAAAATATATGATGAAAATGTATTTAATATTTTACAAAATAAAACCATAAGAAAATATTTTTTGGCTATTATATATCTTAAATAAATTGTATATACTTGACCTCCGTGTTTACATTTAAATTGTGTTTATTTAAAAAGATTCAAATGTTAAATTTTATCATATTTTTAGAAGGAAAAGGTTTCTTTAGGAGAATTTTTCGCTACTATTTTTTGTTATTTGAAAAAAATTATACTAAAAATTACTTAAAAAACAGTAAGAAAAAAGAATGAAGCTTAAATATAGCTTTAAAAAGTTATATATTTACTATATTTTTCCATTTTTAAATATTTACATAAAACTTGTTTTGAACTGTGAAGCAATCAAATTGAGTATTTTTATTTTTTAACAGTTTAATAAAATTAATAATTTCTCCATATCATCTGTTGCAGTACACAAAACTGAAGGACGGAATCGCCATCGGCTGCGCCTTCAACCATGCCATCCTCGATGGCAGCTCCACGTGGCACTTCCTGACTTCTTGGGCCGCCCTAGCCCGCGGGTCTCCCATCCCCAACCCACCTCTCCACAACCGGGCCTTGGCCCGATCCACCCGCGTACCCCTCACCCTCCCCATCTCCCCTGCCGCCCACGAACTCTCCGACCCCAATCCCGCTCCCGCCTCCCTTGTCACCCACCTCTTCTCCTTCCCCGAATCCTCCCTCCTTGTCCTCAAATCCGCCGCCAACTCCTCCATCCCACCAACCGCCAAACCCTTCTCCACCTTCCAATCCCTCGCTTCCCACGCCTGGCGCGCCATCTCCCGCGCCCGCCGCCTTTCCCCCGGCGACATTACCGTCTTCGCCGTCTTCACCGACTGCCGCAACCGCCTCCGCCCCCCGCTTCCGAACTCCTACTTCGGCAATTTTATTCAAGCGGTGTTCACCGGCACAGCGGTCGGCCCGCTGCTCGCCTCCCCGCCCGAATTCGCGGCTGGGTTGCTGCAGAAGGCAATTGATGCGCACGATGAGGCGGCCATAGTGAAGCGGTTGGAGGAGTACGAGGCGGAGCCCAAGATGTTCTATTACACGGATGCTGGAGTGAACTGTGTGGCGGTCGGAAGCTCGCCGAGGTTTAAGGTTTATGATGTCGATTTCGGGTTTGGGAGGCCGGAGAGGGTGAGGAGCGGGAGGAATAACAAGTTTGATGGGATGGTGTATTTGTATCCTGAGAGGGATGGTGGGAAGGGCATTGATGTGGAGCTGACGCTGGACGGGAGGGCCATGGAGAATTTGGAGAAGGATGGAGAGTTCCTGCTCGTCGGCCGAGGCTCGGCTGACTAATCGTGCTGATTCTGGGCGATGGAGATATACAGATTAATAATGTTGTTCTAATCTATTACAAATTATGTTGGTCTGAGGTAGTGTGTGGCCGTGTTACACAGCATAGTAATTGCAAAGTAAAACCCTTTGTATCTTCATAGTATTATTGGTATTATTTTAGTTGTTTAGGATCAAATCTACGAATACGAATACTATCTTCCTTTGTTTATTGCTTTATAAATTCTCATTAAGTACCAAAATCCTTATGTTTCCAGTTAGCGAGAAATAATTACATGCGGTCATCAGATTGTTCGGAGGCCAATCGAACTTGCCATATCTCCCGAAACGTTGTATAATGATGACGTGCACTGACCTCATGTATTACCCCCCCTATTGGTTACCGTATAACTTTTTCTAGGTGGAAGCTAAAAAGTTGATGCAAAAAAATAAAAAAATAATTTTCAAGCACAAAAATTTATTAAAAGCAACCATAAAATAATAGCTAAACATAAACTTCTGCTACTACAAGAAAGTCAAAAGCCATCTCAAATAAATATTTAATTAGAACTTAAGGATGCAAAACTTTTCTTATGTTAGATGCTCATAAATCATCCCTAGGCTCTATTATTGTTTGGAACTATTGATTTTTTAAAAAGTGATTGTCAAATTATTATAAAAATAATAATTGTTTTAAAAGTTGATATGGGTAAAGATATATATTTGGAAAAAATAAACAATAATTTTCTTGCAATCATCATATTTTCATTATTTTGATTCTCAAAAGCCATTTTCACCATTTTTATTAAAACAATAACAACAACAAAAAGAAGCTTTTATCACACTATATTGGGTTGGCTACATGAATTATTTTTCTCCGTTGCATCCTATTAAGAGTCAAATTCTCATCTAAATCTAACAAATAAATGTCATTTCTAATATTTTCTAATAAAATCTTTTTAGTTTTACCTCTACCTTTCTTAACATAAGTCAAATCTAATACATCTACTTTTCTAACAGGGTCATAAAAAGGTTGTTGTTTTATGTGACCAAACCATCTAAGGCGACTCTCTCTAATCTCTTCTTCCACTGAAGCTACTCTATCCTTTTCATATATATGCTCATTCCGTGTCTAGTCTCTAAGAGTAAAACCACTTATCCACCTGAGCATCTGTATCTCTGCAACACTTAACTTAATATTATGCTTCTCTTTTAATGGCCAACATTCTGCATCATAAAGCACTGCAAGTCTCACTACCATATCATAGAATTTTCCCTTAAATTTGAGAGGGACTTTTCTATCACACAACAAACTTAATGCATTCCTCCACTTCAACAATATAACTTGAATTTTACTAATAATAACCCCATCTATTTCACTATCACTCTAAACAATATGACCCTTATATCTAAAACGTGTACTTTTATTAATGACTTGATCGCCCAAAGTTAAAATACTCCCGCTAGATCTATTATTATTGAAATTACACTCCATATATTCAGTTTTAGATCTACTCAAATAAAAGCCTTTAGACTCTAAGGTCGACCTTCATTATTCAAGTTTACATTCAACTCCCTCTAGTCTTATCAATAAGAACAATATCATCAGTAAATAGCATACATTAGGGTGCAACCTCTTGCAAATGTCTAATGAGAATATTCCTTACTAAAGCAAAAATATATGGTCTTAAGGTCATCCTTGATGTAATCCAACTGAAATAGGAAAATACTTGGTCAAACCATCTTGTGTTTGAACACAAGTAATAGCTCATACATACATATCCTTAATAACTTAGAATTTAAACATTAGTAATCCCTTTTTTATGTAGAACTATCCATATCACTTCTCTTGGAACTTTATCATATGCTTTCTCTAAATCAATAAATATCATATGTAGATCATCCTCATTCTCTCTTTACTTCTCCATCAAACCTCTTAATAAATGTATTGCTTCCATAGTAGAGCTACTCGGCATGAAACCAAATTGATTTTGAGAAACATTAGTATAACGCCGCAACCTATGCTCTATATAACTCCCTCCCATAGTTTTAAAGTATGACACACTAGCTTAATTCCTCTATAATTTGCATAATCTTGTGGATCATCTTTATTTAAAAAAAAAAAAAAAGAATCAACACACTCATTTTTCACTCATCTTACATCTTTTTAGTCTTAAAAATAATATTAAAATGAAAACTTAGTCCTCAACTAACAGATTAAGGTGAGCTGTGTTATTATGTAAAATTTCATAAGTATTTTAATTTAAATTATAATAAATTTAAAACTTTTTTAATATTTAAATGTAATATTGCTAATAATTATTAGAAAAAACAAAATTTAAGATGAAAATTGAATGTCAAAACCTATAAAATTATGGTTAGTTTATAAAAAGGAGCATATTGTAAGTTTAAATTAGCTTAAGGAGCATGTTAACGAAAAAATCTAAAAATGAACAAATACCAAATTTAATTATCCATTTTCAATAGAAATTAGAAACCTCCAGTTTCAATAAAAATCGAAACTTAATTATCTGATTTCTATAAAAACTTTTACTCTATTCACCGGTTTTAAAAAATTATTCCTTAGAAATCGATATTCTATTCATCTGTTTCTATCAATAATTAATTTTACTTTTTTTATTTACACTTTTATTTGTTTTTTTTTTAATTTACTTTTCTTTTATTTACACTTTTTCTCATTTTCTTATAGGCTCCTTTTTTATTTGCACTTCTTTCTATCAATAGTTAAATTTAATTTTTTAAAATTTTAAATAAACTTGAAGTTTTTAATTTTTAAATAAACTTTGAAGTTTTTAAATTTTAAATTTTAAATTTTTATATGTATTTTTTATTCATTAATTTATAATTAAATATATTTAATTTATTTTTAATAAAAATTTTAGTATATAAGTTACATCAAATTTATCTAAATTTATTAATAGATTATAATTTAACAAATAAGCAAAATTGGAACCGTGTAAAAAAAAAAAAGTAAAAGAAACAATTGACTTTCATAGAAACGGATGAATAGAGTACCCATGTCTAAGTTTTTTTTTTATATTAAAATTGATGAATAGAGTAGCGATTTCTATAAAAACATGATAATAATATTCTGATTTTAATATAAATCAAAATCGGATAATGAAGTTTCAATTTCTATTTAAATGAATAATTAAAATTCGTATTTGTACTTATTTAAATTTAAAACAATCTCATGGGCTAAAATTATTGAGACTATGAGTCTATGAGAGCAGTCGAAGCCGAAACAAAACTTTAAATACTTAAATGAAATGATTTGAGGATAATTCTATACGACTCGCTCCCATAGAATTACACTTTCTGATATAATAACACTTCGGGTAGATAACTTCCGTCCCAAGTTGCTTCGCTTGGAGTTTGGGGAACCTCGGATCCTTTGATCTCATATAGTTTTTGGTTCTGTTGCAGAGGTAATAATCTAAACTCTTAAAGGATTTGTGCTTGTAAGTGATTTCTTTATTTGTAATCAGTTTTTATTTTTTATATGCATCGTCTTCTATGATGCGCTTCAATGGTTTCAGCGCGGAATTTTTAGAACTTTTCCGGTTGTTCGTTTGTGGTTTAGGGTTTCAATCTTTCTTACTTTGGTGCTTATATTTGTTTTTTTTTTTTTTGGGTGATTATATTTTCTCTTTAATCCCTTTGAGTTGGTGAACATGATGTGCAAGTTCCTATGCCGATTATCTGATTGGAGAAATTTTTTCTATTGGGTAGGGGTCATGATCATAATTAAGTGAGTTGGTGAACATGATATCTTTCTATTTTCTCTTCATTTTATTCGCTTTACATTTTATTGTTTTTCAGGCAATATATTCATATTATCCAGGGATTTTTTATTTGTTTGCTACGTCCATGCAATGAGAAATATGTAATGTTTTTATGGGATTGAGTTTATGTCAAAAGAAAAGTAAGAGTAAGATTATGAGTAATTGCAGCATATGTTCAGTTGGATTTTTTTTTTTTTTTTCATATTTCAGATGTAGTAGTTTGTAGATTGAACGGGGAAGAGGAATATACTCATAATACCTCCAAGCCTCACTGTGCCACAATGTTTAATAAATCTTGGAGAGCTGTAACGAAGTTTGGCTGCGTTATATAAATAAAAGTGTGAAAATGGTACATGGAGTGATTGTTTTATGTAAATTTACGCTGCAGTATAGAGAGGTTTTTGTTTTGAATTGAACCTGTGGTTAGGGGTGATGTCGAGTCATGTTAGAGCCAGCCAACCTAAACTCAAAATCATTCATTTTTATTTTTCTCAAGCCAAGTTTGATTTTTATTTTGATTTTGATCGAGCCAAGTTTGAGTCAATCACCTTTAATTTGATTTTTTATCATAGCAATAAAGATAAGGAGAATAAAGTTGACATCATTTTTTTGTTTGACAAGACATTCCTGTATCATCTGAGTGCAATTATCAATAAAAGTGAAATATTGTAGCTCCAAAAATGGTAGGGACTCCTGATGGTCTTCAAATACTAGATTGAATTAGCATACAAGGAGTAGAATATTTATAATCAGTTTTAGAAAAAGAAACACATTGTTTTTCAAATTTATAAGTCTCACGTAAAAGTCTTCAATATTAACATTTATAAAAAGATAATGAAGCGTATATTGTAGGATTTTGAAATTAGGATCCTGTAGCCTATAATGATGTTCCCAGATAATTTCTATATTGAGAGCGGATATAAATCAATATGATAAGTGATTTTTATCTTTAAGAAGTTATAATCCATCTTTTTCTCTAATTTTCCCAATCATCTTCCTTGTGAGATCTTGAAATTCATAATAAGTAGTGAAAAGTTATATTGCAGTTGTGTTCTTTATTGACTTTATGGATTGATACAAGATTTATTGCAAAATGATGAACATGTAGTTGATTGTTGAGGGAAAATGTGGAGAGATAAGAATGTTCCCTTGACTTGGAACAATTAGCTGGGAAACATCTGCTACATTGATTTTTCTATTGTTGGGGCAAATTTTACATATTTGAAAATTGTTATAATGTTTATCATGTGATTTTTGGCTCTTGTTTTTAGGATCCAAGTGTGAGGAGAACTATTTGAGATATTAAAAACATGAGTTAGAATTCAAATATTCAATCAAACCATTTGGGGCTAGAGAGCATGACCCAAATGATTTTTCTGGGGAGTTGAGAAAGTTCTTGGGTTTATCAAGTTATTTTGAGTTGAGCCATTCTGATTTCACATGGCAAGTCTTTCCTTTGGGGTGTCATTCTTTGCTTCAACCATATACTTAGTACTTTTCTTGGTATTTCTAACATTTTTGTTTGATGTTCCCCTCTGTTTTTTTTTTTTGCAATAGTTGCACCATAGATTGCTTTCGGGAGATGATTTTTGCCCTTCTTTTTTAGGAAGAATCAATGGCATAAAGTCTTTGATTATGAGGTTAGGTGGTTGTCATAGCAAATATTTTTGAGATAGGATTGTCAAGCATTACCATCATTCTTTCTTCTTTGGCTCATATGATTGAGAAGATTTCATTTAGTGATGGTAGATTTTATCAGCTTAAGATTTGAATACTAACTCGGTCAAATTCATTATTGAGTCCTTCAATAAACTCAAGAACCCTTTCTCTTTTTAACAATTTGTTTGAGAATTACCACACCAGCATTACTCTTCATTTTGAGATCTTGTTAATAGTCTAAACCAAGTCAATAAACGTTCATTGCTTTAAAATATTCAATAACAGGTAGGTTATCTTTCTTGATTGTTTTGATCTAATTTTTAAATGTGTTTGTTTGACAGTGTTCCAAATGTCATCTGCGGTTTTTAGAAATATGTATTAGAAATATGTATGGCCTAGTGATTCCTAGTCACAATGTTTCATAACCAAGTCATAATCATAGAATGTAATTCATCCCAAAGTGCAAACTTTGGATCTTTCGATTCTTGAGGAGGATTCATAAGATGATCAGTTTTTCTCTTTGCTTTTAGAAAGGTCTATATAATTTGAGACTACTTTAGGTAGTTTTTTTTTCCCATTCAAATGATATGAGGCATATAGCTCATGGAGTTCTCATTTATTATGATTTCACCATTCATGATAGTTGACTCCTTTGAATGAAAGTAAAACAAATGGGACATATTAAAGAGAAGAAAGAATAAAAAAGTGGAAGAACAAAGTTTGAAAAAGAAAAATGAAAAAAAAAAAAAAACCCAACCCTTGCTTAGATACCAGGTATAAAAGAAAAAGTGGCTAGGAAAGCATGAGTTGTTTATTTCTTCAATTGGTATTGATACATTTAACTATATAGAACATAATTGGAAATAACTAAATATAATAACCCCCATCAAAAAGAAACCCAATCAGATGTGCGCCCTCTTTATAGCTCGAGATGCTCTGATTGGTGCCGCAAGAGTAATCCAAATCTGCCTTCCTTTATTGTACATAGATTTGTGGGATAGGTGTTTCCTTGGATGAATAATCCATGGCATCTTCGTTCTTGCTTAAGCATTTCCACTGGCCCCACTAGGTCCGGCAGCCTTTGGTCCCCTCTTGGCATTTCTGCCTTTCAACATAAATCATAAACATATAATTGTGGCTGTAATTTGGATGCTAAAAATTAATTGGCATATGCCAAATACAAACTTAAATTACTTTAATTAAGTTATAAAAGTATATTGTCCCATAACATAAATTTGTTTCCAATCACTCCCATAAACTTAGATTATGGAAGATATTAAATTTTCCTTAAGACAAAATGATGCAAACAATAACATTGATAGCAACAGTTCCTAACTACCAAATATTATTGATATAAGACTTGCAAACTATAGCTGAGAAAGATTACAGAGTAGTTAGAAAAAGGTACTCGGATGAAAGAGAACTGAAGAAGTAATATTACAAGTGCTTTTGCCGTTTACATCTCCTAGGCAACAATCCATGACTAACCTTTGACTTTTTAAATGATTGGAAAAGATTCTCTCACTTTAGTCTTAACAGGAGGCTCCTCACTTATTTTGGACAACGATGATTATCTTTATGAGAAACGATTCCGTTACAGCTTTTTATTTATTTATTTATTTTGGTACAAAGATATTTTCTTTTATGAGACATGTTCTTGCCAGAGGCTGATGAATCAGAGTCGGGGTAACCAAAAGTTTATTGAAGGTGGAAGAGTGAAAATAACATAGAGAGATTATTTCGAGTTGAATTAAAGTATATTTCAAGCGACTCATCTTCAAGTCAGAGCAAATAGATTTAGATTTCAAATTAATTAAAATTTGAATTATTATTGAACATATTCTGAGTTTCATACATAATTTCAGCCCTAACCTTCGTTTAAAAGAAATAGAACTACTTACGAATAAATCATTTTTTGTTAACTTTTTTTTCTTGTTCACACGCACATTGTAGCTTTGGCTTCTAAAAGTGTTGAGTTGAGAGTTGAGCTTTTATCATCGGTGATGAGTTAAATGCTTGCAAGCTGGTTTCGTTTACATGCATAGATCAACTAGCTTTGAGAATCTACCATTAAGATCTTTGAACCAAGAGTGGCAAATTTTGAAGCTGTGCTGAAGGGTATTTTTATTAGTACTTCAAAACAGACATTGTTTCTGGATCCCCTTTTTATGTAATTTATTGTGTGTATTTAATGTCATTTTCAGCAACTTTTGATTTTTTTTCTTCACTTCCTGTAGTACAAAATTCTTTCTGTTTTTCAATCATGAAAATTCTTATGTCTTCACTATTGAAATGTTATTGTATTCTTTTATCTACATTAGGGTCTTGATTGATGACTGATTTAATTCGAATTAGCCTTACAACTTCTTACTCTTTGCATCTTTTTCAAGCTGTTCTGGAGGCCCGATAATAAGAAATGGCAGATGACAAGAGGGACTTGAATGAGACAAATACCCGGGGAACTGATTGGGAGGTTGTCTCCCTCACTGCTTCCACTTTCGCTGCAGCACCTGGTCCTCCAGAATTTGATCCTACAGTGCTGCATAAAAAGGAAGAGTTCAACAAAACTGAACAAGAATGCTCCGAGGCAATGTTCATGTCCAAGCACTTCGTTGTTGCACCCCATGAGTCTGAAAAACTTCCAGCAGAAAATTACAGCAGTGCGGTTTATAAAGAACAAAGCATTCAAGATGACAATATTACTGAACCTCAGAAGTCTAATAAAGACAGTTCTACGATTGACACAATCAATGATCTACATGGAAGTCATCTATTTGATATGGAATGCAGTCTCTCAGATCACAGTATGAATTTGGGATATGGAAAGCAAGAGGGAGATCTAAAAATGGTGGAAAAGGACCATGCCTTATTTGTATCTCCTAACGAAATTTCCTTTGATGACGGAGCTAATGTGAGCCTTCCTGTCATTCACGATGACATCTCTGACCTTGCTGAACCCAGAAACCCTTCTCAGGAGAAACTTGATTATCCTTCTTGGCGAGCACATGGTTGCAAGCCAAATGAGGAAAATATCGATGAAAGCTTTGATGATTCTCCTGAATCATGGTGGAAGAAGCGGGCAATATCTGCATACAACCATGCCAAGGGGACGAACACGTTCTGGTCCATCTTTGTCGCTGTGGCAGTGGCAGGACTTGTTATACTGGGACAACGATGGCGGAGAGAAAAATCACAATTTCAACAATTTAAATGGAAGTTTATCGGTACTGGAGAGGTTGGAAATTTTCCATTTTTATAGCGTTCTCCGTCTATGACCTGTTTTTTTTTTTCCATGTTTTGCATATCCTATGCTCTGTTTTTATAAATTATAAGATTGTTAGGTTTAATATTCTTGTTCTTTAATAGTTATTTGCTTGTCCCTTTTGAGGATAGAGGAAATGTAGGTTTGTATGGATCGTTTTTTCAAATTCTCATTGCATGTGTCTTTGGTCGATTCAACATTTGCTTTTATTAAGTTTAGTTTTGTTGAATAAAAATGTCAAGCACTTTTTCCCATAAATTTAATTTATTATACCAACCCTATTTTAGGTATTATTCATAATAAAGCTATTGTGTTTTGTCTCATTTAAATTGCCCATGCTTAACTGCTAAATAAATTTTATAAGCAGCTAATATCAAATATATCATTTTTACATTTTGATTTGACTAAACTATCAAGATGTTGTTAGCTGATTATTCTTGTAAACACAAAGACATTTAAATATAGTTGTTTATATCGTCAAGTTGCTTTATATATATATATATATATATATGTATATATATATATATATATGTATCAGAGTGATGGTGAAATAGATGGAGATATTATTAGTAGAATTCAAGTTGGATGGTTGAAATGGAGGAATGCATCGAGCTTGTTATGTGATAAAAAAGTCCCCCTTAAATTTAAGAGAAAGTTCTATAAGATGGTGGTTAGACCTAAAATGTTTTATGGTGCAAAATATTGGCCATTAAAAGAAAAGCATTATATTAAGTCAAGTGCTGCAGAGATGAGGATGCTCAGGTGGTGATATAGCACATAGAAGATCAAAATTATTGATAGTGATGTACATCCTAAGCATATGCTGGTGATATATAACTTGATCCCTTTTTATGGCAGTTTAACTATTGGTCATACTTGATGAAGAAATAAAATGCTTCTAATGCCCTTTATTGGAAGTGCTACTACATAAAATTTTTTAAATCAAATCTATTGAAAATTTTCTAGCTATATTTTTATATATGCTAAAAAACTTGCAACGTATTTGAGTATTCTATATCATAAAATTGATGAATCTTTTATCATTCTATGGAAATCATCCATTAGGATGTTTCTTTTGTATACTTGATCAAATTATCTTATCGTTTCAGGAAATATAGGATCGCACTAATTTTAATGGTGAAGTTTTTGGTTTTGTTGAATAATTGAGAAATAAGCTAAAACCCTCTTAACTGCTCTATGGTACTTGAGTAAGAAAGTTTCAGGGAGAAATAAACCTGGAAAAAACCGCAATTTTCCTATTTATGAGACATGCCAAATATTGATTTGATTGTTATTTTATTAGTACATGCTGAATTGATAATTATTCTGATAATCCAGTGGTGACATTTGATGGTTCTCCTGGCGCTTGCCTTCAATCATGGTCATTGCAACCCTTTCACCTGCATTCTTTGCCTCAATTGCTTTACCGCAGAAGCTGACTATATGCATTATAGTAAATCTGTTTAGTTTCATTAGCTGTGATCTGTATTTTGCTTTGCATCATGATGGCTGGAAGCCCGCTAAGTTGATCTATTATTTCAATCAAAGCATGCAAATATCTATGATTATAACTCTTCATAGATTGCGGTTGTACCCTCATGTTCGTTTAGAGATTGATACCGTATCATAGAAGTCTGAATTTGATTGAGAAAGTCATTAATTATGAATCAATCCGGTGCTTTTCAAACTTCAAGTCCCAAAGCCTTGAGTTATTTAGAGCTAGATCTCATTTTAATTCACCCAAGATAGTTTACGAAGTTGCCTTCTCAGCAAGAATATTTGTCCACAAAACTTTAGTACTCGTTTACAGTACTTACTCAAACAACCATTACTCAGCCTTGTTCGCTACCCAACTAGCTACATCGAGCTCAATTGTGTACTTTTCTTATTTTTTTTTTATGTGATATTGGTCCTCATCAATGAATAGGGGGTCATTAGTTGAGCGCGAAAAACTGAGGATAAAACATGAAACATTTAAAATCTAAAACAATTCAATAGTGTCTCACTAAAATATCTTAGATCCTCTCTATTCTTTCTTTCAACTTGGTCCGAGTCACATTTTCTCTTTCTAACTCGTCATCGGAGTCTCCTTTAAACAATGAATCATTAAACAAAATCTCTTAACCCGACTTTTGGGTTCAGTTAAGTTCTGGATCTTCATTTATGTGCTATAAAGAAATGTTGCATACATACCCAATCTTTATAAATGGGGTTTGGGGGATTTTACTGATATCTCTTTTGGCCTGATTTTTTTCTTTATTAAAAGAGGCTCTATCTTTAGTTAATATCGGAGATATTAGGGCTACAAATAAATTCCATAATTGTTATTGTGAAATCTGCAATGGTAGCAACATGACTCTATCATCTCTTGTAAATATGTATAAATTTTTTTTGTGTGTTCTGGGCTGTCATTTTATTTTATTTTTTCTCATTATTTGAATTAGGCTTCACCTCATGCTCCAATATATTCAATCTACAATTATAGTAAGATATTAGACCCTGTACCAGCAGACACCCATTAGCCAATGCCAAGTGAATACCCTGTTAGTGGAAGGAGCATTTTTCTTAAATCTTTTTGTTAGCCGGTTTGAATGATCTTTTTTGTCTTATTTTGCTATCAGTAAACGTTAAACAAATAATTCTGGTTATTGGTATGTTATTTCCCCATGTTTTCATGTTTTCATGTACTTGTTTTTTCCAATTCATAATCGCTTCCGTTTCTTCTAAGCTCTGAATGCCTGGTTGCCCGCGTTACTTACAAGTTTCAAATTCTGGCAGAAAATAAACACCATTGCTGGACCAGTCGGCCAGCTTAAATTTCTCGTAGGTGGCAACCACCGTACCGGGCCAATGCGTCAAGGGCTCCACCCAACCTTCTAAGATATGATTAATGATGATGATGGCGACAATGACAACTCTGATGGTGATGACGACGACGACGAAAAAGGTAAGAGAGGTCCTTAACATCACAAAATTGTGAGAGTTCAGCTACAGAACTATGTATGATTTACCTCTTAAACCACTTGTTTATAACTGTATGTCATTGGCTTTTAAAAACATAATACTTTCTTATATTCTATGTGCGTCCATGTATGAGTGTTGAACTGTTTGCGTTTGTTGATGCTTAAAATTATCATAACTTGTGATTTGGAAAAGACATAACTGGATGATGAAGTGTTTTTTTCTTCATAGGCACTTATTAGACAAGCTGTGGGAGTATTGCTATTTGGATTTACCAACTTTGCATGAGCAACCCTTAGTTTTCAAAATTGGGAATTAGAATAGCAAATGAAAGCCCCAATTCCTTGAAATGATGATTATGTCTAGAGAGAGAAAGAGAGATGAAACATGATGGGTCACATTGGCCACAACTTCCAGTAAACAAAAAGTGTAAAAGAAAAAGTAGCGGATTACATCATGAAATTATTAATTTTATTTTGTACATTTGGATCGAGCATATGAAGCGACCCAACAACTCAATTTGATAATGAGACAACAATTGGGAATCTGAACAGGAGTTGACCTGACTCGACCTATGGAGTGTTAGGAGTCTTTATTGGATCTAAAAGAGCTTAAAGCATGCCCTAATTTTAAAAATATAGAATTTAGAATTATAAGACTCTCTAGTGATTTTAGCATCATCTATCTGTTATCCATCCATGTGTATGGGAGAGATTATTATATGCGGTGTCCGGACGGTCACAGCATCGGAGATCAGTATGGAAGAAATTCCATTAAGATTTTTTTTGGGACGCTTCTAAAAACAATTTTTTAGTTTAAAAATTAAATTTTTTTAATTGCTTTAAGAAATAGTAAGAAAGACATCCCAAACGAAGCCTAAATTTGTCGAGGCTTTTTCTTGGCTTGCATAATGTTATACTTCCTTTTGTGTTTGCTCTTGTTAAGAGATTTATGCCAAAGGAAAGCAAATATTATATGTCAAAGAGGTGGGCATTGACCTCAGGATTTGGGCCTGAACTTAAGCTTGGTTAGGATAGTAGAATCCAAACTGACGATCGAAACTTCTGACCTACACACAGCTCACCTTTGCTTGTTGGTTGAGAGCTTATGCTTCTAACTAAGAGGTCTTGGGTTCGAGTCTTTGTGTATGCATTGTGTGTGAGAGTTTGCCTTAAATGGCCTAAATGTCCCAAAAAAAAAAACTTCTGACCTACTGGCAGGGCAGAATACTTATATATTTATCCTTTGTAGATAATCACATCCAGGCAATTGGATTTCGAAACCTGTATTCTGCACGTTAAGATCTCAATAGAGGTACAGACTTCTTTTTAAAATGATTTCAAACTCAATAGACCCCAAAGCTCGACAAAATTTGTTGGAGGTTGCAGCTTTAGCTTTGACCATCATACCATGCGAAGCTATAACATAAGCTAGAAGGCTCTTCTTTTAGAGAGATATTTTTTTCTAAATTAGTGATGTATCATGAAGAATTTTAAGGAAAAATGGCTCTAGAAATCTTCAAATTAACTATAACAATAATAATAACAGCATCAAGCCTTCATCCTACTAAGTGGAGTAGGCTCTATGAATCATTTTTCTCCTATGTCCTATTAATAGTTAAATTCTCCTTTAAATTTAATAAAGAAAGATCACTTCTAATATTTTCTAACAATTTTTTAAATCTGTCTCTATCTTTCTTAACATAAGTCAAATTTAATACCTCTATTTTTTTAATCAGGTAATCTGAACACCGCCGTTTTTATGTAATTTATATTATGATTAAAATTCATTATATTAATTTTATGTTTAGTATTCATATTGATCATAACATTAATTTCGTTCAACATTTTTTTTAAGCTAATATCAAAAGAATCCTAGCACTCCAGAGCGTTGAATTCTTATCAAAATGGAAATATCTCAGTTACCTTGACCTATCAAGCAACCAGCGAAGAACGCTTGGTCCATCAAATCAATAAAGGTCGACAATAATCTTAAGAAGGAAAGTGTAACGCAGGGTTAGGTTAGACTATTTTTTCCCTTACTCAATTACACTAAGCTAACTCTTCAGCTAGCTCGGAAGAAGCATTCAACAATAACGAAAAAAAATGATCTCCATCTCACCAAACAAACCAATATGCGTAATAATTAGAATTAAAAATCAAGTATTAGTTATAAATCTTGAATTTACCAAACCAACAAAACTACAATATAAAATGCATATTGGTGGGAACGATATGCAATTCATGGTAGCATTTACAATTTAAATAAACCACATAGAATATTCAAGATTTAGGCTTCGTTTGGCACGGCTTTCTTCCTACTTAAACAATTTTAATTTTTGTACTAAAAATTTACTTTAAGAAGCAATAAAAAAACCGTCTCAAACAAAACCTTACTGCTTTAAACCTGAACATGTGCCACAGCATAATCCTTCCAACAAAAAAAAAAAACCACTTCTAACTTCATTGAAATAAAAAAATGAAATTTAAGGGACAAATAGAAGGTTTACTCATATGTATATATAATTCAAATTGCATCGTTGGAATCACTAAAAGTAACAATACAGCTAATAGATGTAAAGTTGCAAATAAAAAACAAAAAATAAAAAAAATTAATAAAGTTGCACAGAAGCTGTCCTCAAGTAGATTGATCAAGCCCATAGCAAACCTCAATTAGTCCTATCAAATAATCAACCCCGTTGTCCCAAAATGTCCATGCAATTGAGGGTCTCCTCATGCGTCCATGGTGAGCTATCTTCTCGGCTTTCATTCAAATATCAGCTTATGGAATTATCTTGTAGATATTGTCGCATTTATTTAGAGCCTTCTCCTTCATTCTCTGATGAAGGCGTCTGAACCTTTATTTCTGGAGAAGCAGTCGTTGAAGCTTCTTGTGAAGGTGAGGAAGATGTAACACCTTCTGAGGTTACTTGTGCTAAAAAATTATTATGAAACATAAATTTGATGTTGGATGGAAGTCACTATAAGTGATACGAAGTTGAAAGAATCAAGACCTGGAGGTTGCTCTTCAGACGATTCCGTAGCAGCAAGTGGGGCTTTAGCAGTAGGCTTGCCATCTATAAGCATTTTATATCTTTTATTACGCTTAACTAACAAACTTGGATGAATAGCATCTGCATTTATGATACTGCACAACAATATATGCTTCCATAGTTGTGCAAATTACAAATATGCAATAAAATTATCAACAGTGCACATGCAATATGATTATCTACACCAAACAAAAAGATTTATCAGTTTGTGCATATAATTCAGTGATATACATCTAAATAGCATAGAATTCAGTGCTCTAGAAATAAATAAATAAATAAATAAAGATTTGGTTGTTAGTATAAATTTGATGCAATCAAGGTGCTCTGTCCCTTCAGTTTCTGTTCATTGGGTGCTGGGTTGTCTCTTCGTGGGCCTTGTTTTCCTCGGTTTTTTCCCCTGGGCTACTGTCCTTTAGGTTTCTGTGCCGATTGGCTGCTGTATTGATGCTTCGTTTTTCCCTATGGCTGTTTGGGCGATGATTTAATTACCTTGCATTAAATATTTTTTCTCTTTTTTCCCCTATAAATGGGACTGTTTTGTGGCAGTTTTAGGATGAGATATGTGATGATTTTTGGAATGTAAATGTGCGGGTTTATTCTACCTCTTCTTCTCCATCCATAGTTCCCGCCCCATCTGTATTTTTTTTCTCTTAATTAATAAAAGTTGTAAGATGTTGTGTTCTAGTATTGTTATATTATATATGTGTTTGCCTATGTTTATGATAAGGAAAACTTTTAATTTGCTAGAAAATAAGAAAGATATTCCACAACTAGCTCATATTTATTTTACTAGAAATCTGAGATAAATTTTACCTCTTGTAGAGGCCCACGGATCATCACCTTGTCCAAAATAATAGACTGCCAACTTAGCAATCCCAAGGATAATGGATTGCCAAGCTGCCTCTAGAACTGTTAACACCACACACCAAGTTGTAAAGTAGATATTCGCCATGCCTAAATTGGTGGACATACTGTGAAATTTAGAGTTTTATATTCCTTTGGTTACAACTTGTGAGTTTAGAAATATGAAATACATGTTAATCCGCTGTCTAATTTTTCTTTGATGAAGTGTTGATCAAATTGAATTTGGTTTCATCATGACTAGATTGTGTGCAATATTGATGATCAATTTATTACCACATATAACTAGACAATATCTTCTCATTTTACTCTTAAGTCATTCAAGAAATTTTATCTACATTAGTTCATAGATCCCTTGCCCCGTTGCCCGAAATTCAACTACAGTTATAGATCTAATGATTACTGATTCCTTCTTCCTTCTCCAAGTGATTATATTATAACTAGGAAAATAATGTAACCAACATTGGATCTTTTATATATGAGGGTGATGGATTGGTTCATTTGATTGGGATAAAATTAAGAAGTTTTCTAATCAAGATGGAGTTGTTTATGAAGGTTCTTAATCAAAGGGCAATTATTTAGGAAAGTTTTAATTATAATTGGGAGGAATTTATTTTGGGCAAGAGATCTAATTTGAATTCAAAATCTAAGAGGGAATTATTTAGGAAAAGGGAGGAGGAACCAAGAGTGAATTGTTTAGAAAAATTTTAATTACAATTAGAAGAGAATTATTTAGAGCAATAAATCTAATTTGAATTCAAAATCTAAAAAAGAATTATTTAAGAAAAAGAGGCTGATTTGAGAGGGAATTAAGGGGAGCCTATTTAAGGCTAATTATATTGTTATTTTGGGGCAGTTGATTTGTGTTTATTGTAATCTTTTTTGAGAGAGCTCTAGAGCGGCTAGGGATTTAGGAGAGCCGGATCTTCCTCTTCAATTGAAGATTCAATTGTATCTTACTTTTTATTTCATATATCTTTAAATAAAAAGTTCTTTTGTATTATTTTTCATAGTTTTCTTAATTTATACATCCACTTCCTATCAAATTAGTATCAAGGCGATTTTTTGGGCTAAAATATAAGTCTTCCTCACTTATTTATGTTGCATTTTTCTCTCCATCCATGCTTCTTTTGCTGTTTGAAGGCCAAATTTGCATCAAATTGTTGTTTTTTTGTTATTTGGAGCCTATATTCGAGTACCTATGGCAGGAAAAAAATAGAAGTGTTGGAAGGGAAGATTAGATAATTAAATTTGAAATTTCAAATCTCCAAAGTCAAATTTCAGCCGTCAACCAAAAGATCGATGAAAATTTGACATCATAGAGGAGATGATGAAGAAGTTGCTTGAGGGTCAAACCAAAATGAGGTCGTCGGAGGCGAGGGAAACCGCCGACAGCCAAGGCAATGGGGAAAACCCTAATCTAATAATGAGAAGTGAAGAAGAAGAGATGGAGATCTTGGAGGAAGAAGAGAGAAGACCTCCTCTATAGTCTATTTTTAGGGAGGAGACCGGTAGAAGGTATGGGGAGAGGCATGAGCAAAGGGGTGCTGAATTTGAAAAAAGAGAGGCATATTATGATTGGAAGGGTGCTGAATTTGAAAGGAGATGAACTGATTATGATCGAAGAGGTGCTGAATTTGAATGGAGGTGGAATTTTGACGAAGGGTTCGGGTTGGGAGACTTGGGGGGAACCACCCCCTTAGGAATGAAAATTCATGGAGGAAACAGGAGGAATGGAGGAGATCAGAGAGTGAGTAAGCTAAAGATGCCTATTTTTGAGGGAGAAGATGTACATGGGTGGATCTACATGATGGAAGGGAACTTCACTGCCAATAGGTTAACAGAGGAAGAGAGACTGATGACGGCCAGGATGTGCTTGGAAGGGAAAGCATTGGCAACGGTACTAGTGGAGGGATACGAGGCAACCCATATAGACCTGGAGGGAGTTCGATGATTGCTTGTTGGAATGTCTCAGAACCAGCAAGAGAGGGAACTTCTATGAGCAGTTCTTCGCTCTAACGCAGGTGGAGACAGTGGTGGATTACCGTGAGCAGTTTGAACATCTGGCCAGCCGATTGGACTAGCTTCCGGAGACTGTACTAGAGGGGAATAATATGAAAGGGCTCAAACTAGATATTCAGGCGACAGTTAGAGGGATGACATCTCGTGACTTGGGAGAGGCTATGGAGCTAGCCCAGTTAGTAGAGGATTAGAGACACTTGGACAAGGGCTGGAGGTTGTTGCTCAGGAGGTTCATACAAGATAACCACCGCCTTTTTGGCATCCAAGGAGCCAACACCGGGTATTCTTAGGGAGATTCCAAAGAAGACGACCGCAGGAGGGAGACCTGGGGGAAACTTCAAGACACTCATAGAAATAGAATTATAGAAGAAGAGAGCGAAGGAGATGTGTTTCAGGTGTGAGGAGAGGCATACACCGGGGCACAGGTAGAAGGACCGAACTCTTCATATTCTCACCATTTTTAATGACGAGGAAATTGAGGAGAGAGCCGTACGACAAAATGAAGCAGCAGTTTCCGTCTTTCCACCTTGAGGATAAGGTGAGACTTTGGGAGGGGAGTATTGATGGACTGGCCGATTTGATTGGGAGGAAATTAGTAAGTTTTCTAATCAAGAGGGAGTTGTTTAGGAAGGTTCTTAATCAAAAGAGAATTGTTTAGGAAAGTTATAATTATAATTGGGAGGGAATTACTTAGGGCAAGAGATCTAATTTAAATTCAAAAACTAAGAGAAAATTATTTAGAAAAAAAGGAGGAATCAATGGGAAATTATTTAGGAAAATTTTAGTTACAATTGAGAGAAAATTATTTAGGATAGGAGATCTAATCTGAATTTAAAATCTAAAAGGAAATTATTTAGAAGAAGGGGCTGATTTGGGAGGGAATTAAGAGCCTATTTAAGGTTAACTATGTTGTTATTTGGGGAGGTGATTTGTGTTTGTTGTAGTCTTTTTTGAGAGGGCTCTAATCGGCGGTTAGGGATTTGGGAGAGCCAGATCTTCCTCTCCAATTGAAGATCCAACTGTATCTTACTTTTTCTTTCATGTATCTTTCAATAAAAAGTTTTTGTGCATTCTTCTTCCTAGTTTTCTCAATTTCTACATCCACTTCCTATCAGAGAGATCTTTCCCAATCAAGATATGTGCATGTTTCGATTTCATTTGAATAAGATTCCTTTTCCGATACTTCTTCGAAGTATTGAAAAGTTTTATATGTTGCCTATAAATGTATTTTATTAGGATTATGCATGTATAAATAGACTTAAAACACTTACAACATAAGCTATATCTGATATTGTATGGGAGAAATTTTAGAGAGTCTAGGTCTTCCCACCAAGCTTAAAAAAGTGCGCATGGTCAATTTATAGTGACACCGCGACCGGGGGTCTTCTACCCATCGCGCTTAAAAAAGCACGCATAGCCTTCAATACCTACACGAATGAAAAACACATTTCCCCATCGCACTGGAACTACGCGATGCTGGAACTATGTTTGCAAGTTTCCCCATTGCGAAGGTATGTTTGCAGGTTTCCCCACTTCACTCGAACTTCAATAACTTATTCTTAAATTTACAGGTTTCCCCTCCATGGTGGAACTATGTGAATGGGTACTTGTTTTAGCAAATTTTCTCGCCACGCTGGAACTAAATGAATGGGTACTTATTTGAAAATTTTGAAATTTATACTTTCACTAGGCGGCTACAGCGGGAGGAAAATCACAATCTCTCTCCCTCTCTTTTAAATCTCTCTTTTTTTTTTCTGACTTGCTCTCTTTTTGCTTTTTTTAACTAATGATAATAATACTACTAATTATAATGGATAAAGAGAGATTAAGCTAAAGAGAGAAACAGAAGTCCGTATTAGGGTGAGAGAGAAAGCCTAGGAAAGTTTGAGGAGTTGGGATCGGAAAGAGCGTGGAGGAAGGCTGCATTCTAGTAGGGGAGTGCAGTGAGGGAGCCATATAAACCTGCAGTGTAAGTGTAAAGTAGGTGGGGAGCTAGAGCAGTAGTTACTCGTTTGGAGCAGTGGAGGAGAGGTCATAGGAAGTGGTGAGCTAGGATGGTTGTTGGGCTTGGTTTGGTTTGTAGGAGAGGAGAGGGAATGAGTGGGGTTGCTACTGTTATAGTGTCTTGATAGTGAGGAGTAGAGCAGAGGTCGTAGGTAGAGGTTGTGGAGTGTAGTGAGGGAGCCAGCTGAACTTGTCGGGTGAAACAGCGGGCATCTACAAGCTTGCGGTTCAGATGGAGGATGGGAGTGGAGATTGGAGGTGTGCTGGAGCTTCGCATGAGGAGGAGAAGAGCTAATGCTGGCTTCACGTGAGAGGTAGGGGAGAAAGAGGAAGGCTGCTAGTAGAAGAGGGCTGTTTCACGTGAAGGGGAGGTTGAACGTTCGGTGGAGAGCAGAAGAGGAGCTGGTAGAGCGAATGAGAGACAAGCGGGTTGTTTGGCTGTGGAGGACCTATAGCGGCTTTGTCCGAGGCAGAGGTGAGGAAGGTTGAGGTCAGGAGCATTAGACGTGTGAGAACATAGAGATGGAGAGGTGATGTAGAACTACAATGATTGCAATGATTTTGTTAAAGAATTTGCACAACTTCTTGATTAGAGAAATAATAAAAAAATCTATTAGCAAATAAAACGACAAATCAAAACGTAAAAGGGGTCACTGCCGTTTAGGCTAAGTTGCACATCAAAAGATTTGAAGCTTCAAAATAGGTAGGAAAATAATATCATGCCAAGGTAGTAGTTTCAACAAAATCTCTAGTCTAACAACAATGAATGCACTCAAATTCCTACGTTTACTAAGTTTAGCAGAATCAGGCGAATGCGTCCTTTGTGACTACAATCAAATCACAAGAGAGGGTTAGACTTAAGAAATACGAGAAAATGAGTAGAAACCTTCGTTAAGGATCGGCGACAATCCTCCACTCGACGACCTCAAGTTGTTCTTAAATAGCTTCAACCAAGCTGTCCAAGATGCGCTCTATATAGTCCCCAACCGTGTGATCGATCCTCGGGTTGACGTCGAAGAAGGCTGAATGGAGAATGTGCACGAAACCGTGTTTGTCGTAAGCTAGTCCGTAATCAGCATCGGGATCGGCCATTCATGAATGCAAGATGATGAAGTCCTCCAAAGATCGCTAATAATCTTGAACTTCGTTGACAAGAAAGAAGTTTCTCTAGGAGCGAGGGTGATAGGAGGCCGGCCAAGGGGAAAAGAGGACTAAAGAATTGTCTTAAACTTGAGAGAGGGAAGAGTTTAAAACCTGAAATTAATTTCATATTTTGGCTAGGAAGAGAGTTGGAATTTGAAACAACTCCAAAAGGGGATGAGAGAGGGGAGGGGGCGGTGGCAAGGGTGAGGAAAGATTTAATTTAATTCCAAAAAAAGGGAGATTTCTTTTATAAACAAATTAAATAAAAAAAGGGTTAGGGAATTTCAGCTAAGGAGGTGGGGATGATATTTAGAATTATTCCGAAGGGGGGCTAGAGGGGATTTAGGAAACAAATCCAAAATCTCCCTATAGGGGCCGGCGGCATTGAGAGCTAAGGGGAGAAATTAATGGGACAGATTGAGACTTCTAAATTTGGGTTTAGGAATTAGGAAAGTAATTAATCAAATCCAATTTAAATTTGAATTTCAAATAGGTTTAAATTAATAACTTTCCTAAAATATATGAGATAAATTAGGAAAGAATTTTGAATTTCAAATTTAGAGGATTTGAATTTCAAATTGATTCCAAATTAAATATAACCAAATTAGGAAACTCAAGGATGAAGTGGGAAGTGATGGGCGGCAGCTAAGGGGGTAGGGCCGGCGGTTTGGGAGCAAACCGTGGGTGGTGGTGGTGGTGGTGGTGGAGAGGGTTGGGTTTAGCCAATGTAGAAGAACTTATGTGGTGGTGGTGGTGGTGGAGAGAAAGGGAAAGGCTTTGGAAGAAGGAACCATGGGTATGACGAGGCCGGCAATGGTGGGAGGAGAAAGGAAGAGATACGAAAATAGAACCACAAACCCGACTCGTCTAGGTTGGTGGGTGATGCGCGATCCTCCCTCTCCTAGGCATCTCTCTCCGATTTCTCAAGCTCTCACAAGAACTCATGCAAGGGGAAGAAATATTTTAATCAATCATTCATTTTCCTTCAAAGAGAAACATAGGGGCTATAAATAGCCTCATACATAAGACTCAAAAAAAAAAAAGAGAGAAGACGACAATGCCCTCAGGGCTTACATATGACATCCCTTAATAAAAGGGTACAACGGGAAACTAAATAAAACAAATACAACGACATCATAAATAAGAAAATACATAAAATAAATCAAAAATACAATGACTCAATCGTGGCCATAGATCGGTGGAGAAATTACTAAGTGCGGAGTTCGGATGTAATTCTACGTTTGGACTTTATACACAGTGTTTACACACTGTATACAAATGTATATTGTGTACATTTATACATAGTGTGTACAATCATAGTCCGGACGTAACTACGTCCATAGTCTGCATAGAATAATTTCTCTGGTGGGCGTGGGCTGAAAATGGGAAGTGATGGAGTATAGAATAGGTTATTACATTTTTTTTTAGCCAGCTGACATGACATGGCAGGGATTGGCTGGTTGAGACTGCAAGGATGAGGCAGAGATTTGGTAGGATTTGGCAGACGATTTTAAGGAGTAGGATTTTAAATAAATAATTTTTTTTGTTATAATTTGATTATGATTAATTATATATACATATTTATTAATATAAAATAAATCAGTATAATATTGAAACTATTGTGAACCCTCCTCACTTAATTCATTGTTTCACATGTGCCTCATTTTGTGTGTTGTCGACTCAGGAATTTTTTTAATTTCAACTCACAAGGAAGACCGATACACTGGGAGGGCCCACAACCATGAAGGGGAAATTGTTTAGGAAGGTTTCTAATCAAGAGGTAGTTGTTTAAGAAAGTTCCTAATTAAAATAAATTATTTAGGAAGGTTCCTAATCAAGAGGGGACTTGTTTAGAAAAGTTTCTTAATTATATTTATACTAGTTAGGAAGTGTTTAATTGTTTAGAAAGATTTCCTAAAATATGTTTAATGGTTTAGGAAGGTTTCTTAAATCATGTTTAATTATTTATGAAGGTTTCTTAAATAATATTTAATTATTTAGGAATATTTAATTATTTAGGAATATTTTCTAAATTATGTTTAATGTTGATTAGAAAGGTTATATTTATTTAGAAAGTTTCCTAAATTATCTTTATATTGATTAGAAATATTATAATTATGTTATTGTGTTCTAGGTCTATTTAAAGGGAAGTTTGTCTATGGTTTAGGGATGATATTGTTGAGTTTATTTTTCTTAGTGTTTGTTGTGAGCTCCTAGTGGCGTCTAGAGGTTTGTGGGAGAGCTGATCTATCTCTCGAATGATAGATCAATTGTATCTTTCATTATTTGTTGAAGATAAACAAGGAAATCAATCCTATCTTTTTGTTCCAATATTGTTCTTCTCTTTTATTTTTTGTTTTTTACTTCCAAGGTGTATTAAATTGGTATCAGAAAACTTTTTTGGGACCTATGGCAGCAAAGAAGGCGGGGGCGTTGGAAAGTAAGATGGAACAAATCAAATTCGACATGGATAAGAGGTTTTATCCATGGAAGGAAGGCTTTCTAACCTGGAAGACATGATAAGAAAGTTGATCGAAATGCAAAAAAGGCTTCGCCAGCTATCCCTAGGGCTAAACCAAAGGGAAAGGAAAATTTGGAGGAGATGATGAGGAAGCTCTTGGAGATGCAATCAAAAACTCCACCGATGGTTCTAATGGCTAACCCTAACCAAGATTTGACTAGGATTACCTTGGCCAAATCAAGGGGAAAGGAGATATGATGGGAGGCATTCGACGATGAGAATTTCTTTCATCAAGAGCCACCTCCTGGGGCTCCAATAAGGGGCAGGTCAGGGTTTACGGATGAGGGGATAGTAAGGAGGGAATTTTTGGTGGAGTGGTAGGGTGGTCGACCACTATTGGAAGCATTTCAAGCAAGGGGAGTGGGCCATCAGAGAAGAAGGGGGTGGTGAAGAGCCACCTCCTACGGCTCTAATAAGGGGCGAAATAAGGTTTTCGGATGGGGGTACAGTAGGAAGTGAGTTTCGTGGTGAAAGTGGTGGGGTGGCCAGCCACTATAGGAGGTCTTTTGGACAAGAGGAGTAGATGACAAGAGGAGGGGGACGGGCCGAACCATGGGGATTGGGTCATGTGAGGCGGAGGGAAGAAAGGTGGGATTCCCACCCTCGATATAAGGGGGAAACATGGAGGGATAACGATAACCATTACATTGGAGGAGGAAGAAGTTATTGAGGCGGTGGCGATCTTACGGTGGCAATCCTATGGTCACTGCATCCTAGTCTGGTTGTGAAACAAGCTGAATATCTTACAACAAGAGCTGCACCTATTCATCCTGATTCTCAATAATTTAGTTCGTATGATGGAAGAATGGATGCAGACCCACATGTTTTACCCATTCCTGTATAGTTCATGACTTTTATACAATCCAGAGATACTAAATAGCTCTCTTACAGCTTTCATCGTGATAATGTCCCAACCGAGTCTATTATGCATAAGTGTGTCATACATTTTGTTCCCCTTAACAAAAAGCTACAAATTCGTTCTCAGCATCAATATTTTTCACAAGGTACTTGTCAAGTGGAAGGATTTTTTGGAGCATGAAGACACATGGGAACCTTACGAGCTGATCAGAAGACAGTTCTCACCTTCCACCTTGAGGAGAGTGCATTTTTTGGGAGGGAGTATTGATACACTTAGGGGCACGACCAAGAAGGAGAAGCTATTAGAAAGGTTCCAAATCAAGAGGGGGTTGTTTAAAAAAGTTCTTAATTAAGAGAAATTATTTAGGAATGTCTTGGGGAGTTGTTTAGGAAAGTTTCATAATTGTGATTATGTTATTTAGTAAGTGTTTTCATTAAAGATTGAGTTGGGTCTGTAGACATTATTTGATAAGGACGTAACTTCATCAAGTCCAATCTCTCGCTCAAGGGTGCTCTTGAATTCCCTAGAAACTTCCTGGAGCATGAGATCCGCCAATAAAAGATCTTACATATATAAGATGATAACTGAAGCACTATAGAATTTCATCCTTTACAGACTTTATAATTAGTTAAGGGTTTCTTTATAAGAATTGATGGAATTTTTTGTCTGCATACTTAGTCAAGAAAACGGGAAATCAATTTCACGAACCTGAAGCTCTCTGATAGTTGGCTGGAAAGCTCGCAGAGTTTTTCCTAAATTCCTTGCAACCTGCACATTGCTAACTTGATTTAGTGGCTAAATATAGCGAAGGGAAAAATTAATATTTATTGCAATGAAAACAAGGAATAAGAGATCTTTCAGCAATCTATTGTTGAAACTCTAACTTAATGTTGCATCCTTGGCTTTCATTTGTTTCCTGGATTTAGTAACCTACCTGGCATAATCTGACCAAAGCAGGATAATGTATGATCTTATCCACCAGATTTTTGTTTTGAATGAAAAATTGGTGCCTGAAATCACCTTAATCGCATATTTTATGCAGTGAATATGCAAAATAGATTACATAAAGAAATAAATAAGCTTTCTGTTTCTCATGCTGCATCACAAGATGGTTTTATGCATAAGACTAAAGCAGACAAAGTGTAAAAGTAAACCGATAACAGGTTACATTCTCAATCAATGTAAAACACGAGAAGGAACTAGTTGTTGTTGTTGTTTTTTTAAACAAAATCTTATAACTAAAAAATGATATTAGTACATCTAGGAACAATTAGCAAGAGTTGCCAAAAATAAAAATTAAAAGCACATAAGACAAGATACAAATAACATGATAGACTACGATACTAAAACCATAGAAATATTAAATCTTCAAAATCACTCATTTACATCTCCTTGTTTGAAGCCTGGTGAAGATATAAGAGTGGGCCAGTGGGGATAATTTTATTTTTAGTCCAATCTCGTCTAGTAAATAGAATTTGGAACTTCCTATCCACTCTTAGTGCTCTCATATGAATCATAAGGTTACAGGACAATACTCTTAGTGCTCTCATATAAATGTTGATGTTCCTCGCAAGGAGTTTATATTTATCTTTGCTCAAGTTATTGAAACTGCTCCTACTGATGTCACAGAAGTTTCATAGCAAGGCTGAACATGCATTTGCTAGTAGGATGGCAGAGGAGTTGCAGGTATTTTCTACTTTGACTATCTTGTCTTCTTCAACAGTGAGGGTAAACAATCTGGAGAGGAAGATGAATGACTCCAAGGTAACCGGGTAGGGATGGATAAGATGATGGAGGCAACACGATATGGGATGTCTAACATGGAGGTGTTTACAAGATTCATAAAAAATAAAAAATAAAAAAGCAACCATTTAGATAATTTGTATGTCATAAAGGGATACAATGATGCGAGCAAGTGCAAGTTGGAGCTCACATCAGAAAAGTTATGATCATAATACCCCGAAACCCAATTATTGGAGAATCTGCCAACAAAGTATGAGACCTATATTATTCCTTACGGTACACTACCCCAAGGAATTGTCGGACAGAGCATTTATGGAGGTTTGATACAATGTGGCATGGCTGTTGGAGGGGTTGGTGACTGCATAGTTATTTGTAGACCAAGCATGGAGTCCGAAACTCCTCCCAAAGAGCATCTAAATGCGTGCCTGTAGGTTGCAAATAGAGGAATGTTCCCCTAGAGCAGGGGTCTTTTACACTGGATACATAATTATCATAAAATGATGGCAAGTAGTGATTAGCAAGTTTAATTTGTAATGAAGTAGTAAAATGAAAACAAAAAAAATGAAAAAAGAAAAATTCTATCTCGTGATTGCTTCATATGTTTCTTCTTTGTATTAGGTGACTGAATATAGGATCCCTGCTTGGGTCAAGTGGCTTGATCCAACAGGGACCTCAAGCAGTCTAGGCCTAGGCTTTTAAGGCGAATGGTCAATTTTTTTAAGAGCTTCCTGAGATTACGATGGGAAGCCCAAGGACTCAAGAGAGAGGCCTTAGGATTTTGCAAGAGGATCACTTTCAAAAATTGAGGTAAAAAAGTTTTCACGACTATTGAGATTTCACATCAATGTCGCTAGGGTGTGATGATTAAATGATTAATAAATAGTAGTAGGACTTCAATGTTCGCTTCCTCTAAGCAAACCATCTGTGTTGACGAGCCACTTCTTTCAAGAAGTTATAGAGAGTTTTTCCCATCATTCCTTGAGCTGATAGCACACGCTATGTTTCGCGAGCGCAAATATTTCACTGGCAAGTGTCAATTTCCCTCTGAGCAGTAGTGAGCACGCTAAATAATGTTGTTTGATTCAAAGTCTTGCATCAAGACCTCAACAAATTCAAATTTGTTCTTGAATCTTGATTAGGATAGAAAGACTATCTCAACCAATTCACAACCCTAATAACTACGGCTCCTGTAGAAGTACATGACCTTTTTAACTTTCAATTCAGAATATTGATAGCAATATCCTAAGTTTTATAAGTTCAGTAAGTCATTTTTGTTACCCAAACTCTTCATTTGTTATTATGGTTAACAAAATAAATAAAAGCTGGAACAAGCTGATGAATCATTTCAGGAACCTCATAAACATTTATATTCCAAATGCATGCTTGTATTTGTTTCATATTGTTGTACCTGTTCCGAATTTGCCAAGTTATCCATTGTCACACAATTGAATAAAACAATTTCCTCGCTCTTCGGAAGAGGAGTCAAATAAACACTCTCATGACATACCCGCCCTAAAATGGGAGAAGATTCGTATCTCAATAGAATCTTTCAAACTTATTCAAAAAATAGTACTTTAGTGGCCTATTATGATAGAACGATTATCCCTTTAATAGAACAAAAACATGCAAACTCCTGCAATGTAACAGGAGAGAAATCATGTGTTCTAACCAAAATGCGGATCAACTAATTGCTGCAACATCCATCGTATAACATCTCTATCTAATGGTAGATACAAAAAAAATTAAGAGACGGTGAAATAGAAATAAAGATCCCAGTCAATACTAAATTAGAGACTCATTACTTCAGATTACAAGAATTTACCTCTGCTAGACCTTTAGGTCCAAATACCAACAGAGCCACCACACCTATTACCAAAACTTCTGGAGCTCCAACTCCAAACAGAGAAGCATAAACAACCATGCATCTAGACTTCCTCTTCTTCCCTGCAATATAGAGAAAAGAAAACTTAAAATGCAAAATAAAGAGGAATTTCTTAGATGAAAATTTTACTAGAAGGCAGTAAAGTTTCCTGACATGCAAAACTAGCAATGGACACTGGCAAAGGTAATCTTAAACATTAAGAGTTCAAATGACATTTTAACACAACCTCAACTAATAAGGGAAAAACAACAACGCTCAGAGAGATCAGGTTAAATTATCAATGAAGAAGCCCATTAAAAAAAAACATATTATGTGGGGAAGGGTTCCGTGTTCTTTTCTTCTTCTTCTTTTTTCCAAAGTTCAAAGTTAAAACTAAGAAATCAGTGACGATGATAAGCAATGAAAAACTCAACTAAACAAGAGAGACTGGCATATATAGAAAAAGAGAATAGTGTCATAACTAAATAAAAAATTACAGATGAACTAACAGATAAATATTGGAGCAAGTATTTCCTAAGCATGAGAACTTTACTTTCATTTAACTTATCTAGTTGATGAAGTGCATGAAGAAACATATGCAAAAGCTAGAAAACATCTCTATAGCAAAAAAAAGACGCAGATAGATGGAACCAGATTTGGTGTAATGGAAAATTTGCTACACATCAGCATATCGTTGATCATGAACCCAATGTACAGTGTTTCTGACTGACTTTTTTTTAAGGACTTCTCTTCGTCAGCAATCCTAGTTAAGCATTTTTCCACATGGATCATCCAGAGATTGATCACCATGTAAGAAGTATATATTACAAGCAAAAGCTAGTCCAAGATAGTTCAACACTTCAACCTAGTACAAAATATAATGCAGGTTTGTTTGGTAAAGCTTTTCTATTGCTTTGCTTTTCAAAAAAATTGACTTCATAAGCACATGGAACACACTAATGGGGGCAGCTGGTTCATCTAGATAAAAGTACAGTTATTTACATATACAACATACATAACAATGCAGCAATATCAATACTTAGAAAAGCTAGGCGGGGAGGTGAGGGGAGGCAGGCAAACTTACATCCACAAATAATTTAATTTCACTTCGACAAGATTAATTGTTGTCATTGGCTTGGGTCTACATGTCCATGAATTTGCTACCACCTACAACTACAACATACCAGAAGAATGTTTGGATTCAACAATAACAGCAATCTTTCTGTTCAAACAGTCAACTGATACTTGGATTTGAGCAAGTATCAATTTGTGACCTAGAAAACCTGGAGTGGAGATATGTATACGACAACCAGCCCATATATAGAGATGGAAAATAGAATGAAACATTAAATCCAGCTATAACATCACATTCTGTTAAAATAGTCAAGTGAAACTTGGATTCATGCATAGCTAAATTTATAATCTATAAAGCAGCAGAAAAAAGAAAGAGGTATACAGGAGCATAAAATCAGACAAGATTGTGACAGGAGGAAAAAATGAGCTGTAAAACTGAACGTGAGAGTACTCCAGAGATATTGATAAGTCTAATGTCAAGGACTTTCTAGTCAATTTCAAGTAGTTGAAGGCCATAGCTATGCACGCATTAATAATATCAACTATTCATGCAGTCATCACTTCAAGATCTGCTTCCAGCATCTGTTACTCTTTTCCTTGGATGGACCTTCATGAGCCAGATGTTCATTGTTAAAAAACTATAGTCCTATCTCTATATGTGCCTTTGAAATGTTTGGTGTTTCAAAGCCCATAGGCATGCAGAAGATATTCACTTCCTAGAGTAGGATGCATAGGCATAGCCTATACCTTCGTGATAAAAAAATTCAACTCAAAAGTTATACTGATTTTGAGATCTTGACCAACCATGTTAAGAAAACTTAAAAAGGGCATATTTACAACTCATTGATATTGAATGAAAGTAGATGTATTAGATTAGACCTATGTTAAGAGAGATAGATGTAGACCTAAAAAAACTTGGTTAGAAAATATTAGAAATGACATTTTCATCGGATTTAAATGAGAATTTGACTCTTAATATGACACAATAGAGAAACAGGATTCATGTAGCCGACTCCACTTGGTGGGATATAGGCTTGATATTATTATTGTTGTTTTTGTTGTATTGATATTGGAATGAAATTGCCTTCCATGTGAAGTCTTAATGGAACCTCTAGGAAATGACATTAATCATTAATTCAAAGGCAACATAATCCACATTGACTCAAGGTAGGATTTTCTAATACAACAAATATATATATATATATATATATATATATATGCAAGAAAGGAGGATTCACATATTAGAAACCACCAATTATTTTAAGCACTTGCTTTTTTAGATGTAAGTAGATAATACTAGAATTAAAACCCAACTCATCATGAAATGATAGAAATCCAAAAAATTCAATAGAGATTTAGAACCACAAAAAATCAGTGAGCTCAGGGACATAGAAAATATCTATATGGCATAGCCAAATATTTATAATAGGCAAAATAATACGGAAAGTATTCCCCACATTGTACATGCTTTTGAGTTATACAGTGACACCAAAAAATTTGATTTTTGTTGCGAAAGATTTATCTAATCTTGATTTAGTAATGGATTAACACCTATCATTGGTAAAATAGAAGGACGAAAGGCTGGAAGCAATTTTCGCATTCCCCCTGCCTTATTATGTGTGTTATGTGGTTGTGTGGAATACATATGTGCTAGCTCATGCAAGCATGCATATGCCTGCAAATTTTGAGTTTCAAGTTGAAAAAAAATCACAAATGGATTTTCTGAGTATAAAACCGATCAAGAAGATGGCCAGTCTGTATTACTCATAATTTCATTACCCAAGAATCAAGTATACATTTGAGACTTATAAATCAGCCATTTTTATTAGTAAAATTGTTATTTTGGAAATCACAGATATTAACTAACATATATATCTTGTCCAAAATACAAAGCATGCACAAACTGTATGAAGTACATATTTTCTTTGAATCTCCAATAACATTTTGGTATTTATTTATATCTAAGTTACATTAACACTAACTTTTTAGTGGCATATGGCATATAAGTGTGAACTAATTTTGGAATTACTGGGAAAGAATGCGATGAATTTAATACTTTTTTATATTTCATTAAAAAATATTCAAAATGTTAAATACAAGAAAAGTAAAATAAAATAAATTCTAGAGTCCATATCAATATGATTCATATTCAAACTCCAAATTTCAATTGACAAATACCAAGTTAAAACATCATTTTATCAAAATTATGCAATATTACTAAACTGCAATCCTCAAGGCCTCATTCCTCAAGCTCATCATCACGAAATAATTTCCTCCTAGACATCCGTAATTCAGACAAATAATCCTTCAGTTTGCTTGTTACTTAAATAGAAAGGTTATTTTATAATTAAATAGTATCTAGTTATCTAATAACTTCAAAATTAATTTAAGGTATTTGTATCATGCGTACGTCTTTCCATCAAAGTGCAAAATACATGCACATATAATTGGGATGGAGCCTAACAAGGAGGAAATGCCCCATATGCAAATGCCTCCCTCAAACAACCATCTTGGAGCAAGTTTGCTTCTACTCAATTTGAAGTGCGCTAATCGGGCTAGCCAAAAAAAATGCCTTTCAAAATATCATTGGTACTTCAAAATTTTTAAAATATCAAATGGCATTCCACTTCTAAAAACCTAATAGATTCCAAAATTCTAAAGTGCTCAGTTAAAGGCACTGAATGTTCCATAAGCTGATTAGAGTCCCTAAATATGCTAAATGATTAATTTGATGAATTATATGCATAGTTTAAAATTGTGCAATAAGAGGCGCGGCTCTGCGCAATTCTACCCCAAAGAGCCTCATTGCCTAAGCAATTTCGAGTCTGGGTGAGGCTTACGCCTCATGGATCCTAAGGCGCACCTCAGAGGCTTAATTGCTCAATTTTGGGTGAGGCTTACGCCTCATGGAGCCTGGTCCCACACACTTAAGTTCTTAAAAAAAAAACCATTTCATCCCTTTCTTCTTTCCGCCTACCCAAACTGAACGGAAGAGCTCCGCAAGCCACAGTCCGCATGCCCTAGCTTCCCTTAGCTGGCCTTCCCGCCGGCGCCGCCTCACGCCGGTGAGCAACTTGAGTCCGGCCGCCCTGTACGACACCTCTACTGTGGGTTTTAGGTATTTTTTTTTTAATTCAAGGTTTGATTTTTCAAGTATATAGAAAATCTAGGGTTTAAATTTTTTTGAGATTTTTGGTTTGATTTTGCATTTGTGCATTAGGAAACATGGTTAGTGGAAAGGAAAAGTCAAATACGTAAATTATCATTTACACAATTCTTCGTTCGTGAGGCTTACACCTCGCACCGCCTCGAGGCTTACGCCTCACCTCACGGACGAAAAATACCTCGAGGCTTATTTACGCAATTTTAAACCTTGATTATATGTATTTTTTTCTATACATAACCTCAAGTAAAAGGGTTATACTGTAGAAAGGTTTTGTAAGTTATTTGTTTCAATTACAAAATCATATGTCACATCTTATAAGTTTAAAAAAAAGAATACTACGAAATCCATTGCACCCCAAATGACTAAATCTGCTTAGAAACATCAAAGAAGTGCCTCTCTAAGCCATAAATATATTCTCCAAGATTGAATGTTACATACGTAAAATTTAATTATTTCATGTATCTAGTTACTAGAAAATATTTGCCTTTATATGAAAAAATTAATGATGAAATTCTAAAGGTGTCTACGTGCTTGAAGCATAAAAAGTTTTCATTAAAATGAGCATCATGAGTTTGTTTGTTTTTTTTTTTAATTATTAAAAACATATCAATAATGATGATCCTATTGAGAATAGGTAATGTTCTCTAGTTTTTTATTATCTCTTTTTTTATTATTATTATTTTTTTATTATCTCTTTATGTTTGATTTGTACTTGAAAATTTAACCAAGTGCAATCTGAATTTAAGGAATTGTATCTTAATGAACTACCTAATGAATTACCGCCACTTAGGTATATACACAATTCTATTAACATAACTATTGGATCATCGTTACTTACCACTTTTGATGCCACCAAAGTTTCTAAGGACTACTAAGATTGCATATAAACTTGATGTATTCCTTTCAAAACAATTTTAACAAACACAAACTCAAGTAAAATGAAATAAAACAAAACGACACCTTAAAACTTTTATATTACAACGTTCAACACATACGACTCACACGACAAACATAAAACACCTAAAAACTTTGCATTGATTGAGAAGAAATATATTGATGGCGTGGAAACTTGCGGAGAGAAGAAGTAAATAAGAAGCCCGAGATGAAGTCAAAGAGAAGAGGAGAGAAAGTGGATAAAGCTCGCAAGCTATCCAAAAAGAAACCCTCATATTTTAGTTCCAAAAATCATCACCAAATTCTGCTCTCAAATGCACAAAACAACCTTATTTATAGGAGAAGAAAGGGAGTTAAACAGCCAAAACAGCCGCCCAACAAAACCAATAGAACATAGGGAGGCAAAAAGACCAAATCCCAATCGGCTGGAATAGCACGCGAAGAGACCGCGGGACACAGCCAACGAATGGACAGCGCCAAGGGGAAAGAACCGGGCAGGCAGAGGATACAAAGGGCTAAAAACAGGGGAAATGAACCCGGGCAGTAGGAACTCAGCAACCAGAACTCAAATCAGCCAAAAAAAGGGGAAATGGGACAAGCCCATTAGGGAAAATTTAGCCCACCAATAAATACCTATTTATTCCAATGCTTGCCTACATCAAATCTCCCCCGGTTGAAAGTTCTCATCCCCTGATGAGTCGAAGGCGCCGCATCCAATTCTTGAATCAATGCCGCATATTTTCTCTGGATCATTTCTTTTTCTTGCTTAAACTGGGATTGTAGAAGTTTCTTTTTCTTCCCATATTTTTCCATATACAAGTACATTTGATATTGAATTTTATACAACTCGTTCTATATGGGATTGGTGGAACTTCCTTGCATCGGAATCCATCGGCTCATAGGAATAGCTTCTTCAAGATCATTTGGCTTACTTTCTCCAACTTCATACTCAATTACATCATGATTTTCCATTTTTTTTCTTCAAGGCTTAAAAAAAGGAAGACTCAAAAACCTAAGCTCTGATACCAAATTGATGCAACCAAAGTTTCTAAGGACTACTAAGATTGCATATAAATTTGACGTCTTCTTTTCAAAACAATTTTAACAAACACAAACTCAACTAAAATGAAATAAAACAAAATGACACCTTACAACTTTTATATTAGAACGTTCAACACATACGACTCACATGACAAACATAAAACACCAAAAAACTTTGCATTGATTAAGAAGAAAGATAATGATGGGGGGTGGAAACTTGCGGAGATAAGAAGTAGATAAGAAGCCCGAGACGAAGTCAAATAGAGGAGGAGAGAAAGTGGATAAAGATCGCAAGCTATCCAAGAAGAACCCCTCAAGTTTTAGTTCCAAAAATCATCACCAAATTCTGCTCTCAAATGACACAAAAAAGCCCCTATTTATAGGAGAAGAAAGAGAGCTAAACAGCCAAGACATTCGCCCAACAAAACCAATAGAACAAAGGGAGGCAAAAAGATCAAAACCCAATCGGCTGGAACAGCACACGAAGAGGCCGCAGGACACAACCAACGAACGGACAACGCCAAGGGGAAAGAACCAGGCATGCATAGGATACGAAGGGCCAAAAACAAGGGAAATGAACCCAGGCAGCAGGAACTCAGCAGCCAGAACTCAAATCAGCCAAATAAAAGGGAAATGGGCCAAGCCCATTAGGGAAAATTTAGCCTACCATTAAATACCCATTTATTCCAATGCTTGCCTACATCAACTTTATAGAATAAATCTTATTAAATATATTGAATTTAAAAGACAACTGGATGAATAAATTAGGGAAGAACTCATTAAGGAAAGTATAGTCCACATGTTGCATATACATTATTTACACCTATGAGGATGGAAGTAAGAGGTTGTTATGTATAGTTAGATTAGAAGTGTCAAAATAGATTGACGGGTCAAGCTCGAGTTTGACCTGAAATTGGCCCAACTCGAATCCACTCAACCCAAACCCAACTCGTTTAATAAACGGTCAAAAACACCAGTCGGATAGCAACCCGAATGGTCTGCCAACCAATTTTGCTTAAAACAAATCTATATCGCTTATTAAGTATAAAGTTTAGAATATTCAATAAAGAATAAGAATATTATACCCACAAGTAAAAAAATAAGGAAAATATATATTAAACAAGTTATTTTTTGGGTCAAAAGCAAGTTTGCAAGTTAACCTAAACTCGACCCATTTAAGGGTAAAAAAACCCAACCCAAACCCTGGCTGGTTGGAAAGCTAGGCTCCTCTCATAGGTTGGGCGTCTTCAATATCTTAGATACACTATGTGGAACATGATTGCATACTGGATAAGAGGTTCGATCATACCTAAGGGCTTTCTCAAAAAACTGGGTAGAATTGTGTTAGATTTCTCTTTTTTGGGCACACTGATGCTAAGAAATTACATCTTATTGCATGGCACAATACTTGTAAACATAAGATCTTCGGTGGGGTTGGCCTTCCTGCTTGCCCCCCTCTCCCTCCCCACTCTTTGGTTGCTGAATTCATTACTGAAGGTTTGTGGAACCTTTCAGATTCACTAGATGTAGCTATTAGTTCTGTTTGGGAGTCTATCCCATTGCAACTGGGATTAAGCACACTATTGCCTGGAAGGATAATAAAAAATTTGTTATGCCACCTTTCACACTGATTATTTTAAAGAGCAAAACTCTCCATGCTGGCCAAAATTTATTTGGCATAAACATCATGCTCTAAAATACTCAGTAAATGCTTGGCTTGCTATCAAAGGGGGTCTGAAAACTGCATATGAATTACTAAAAAGGAATATTACTATTGAGTCCAATTTCCCTCTTTGCTTTGCCAATCCTGAAAAGGCTGCTTGTCTCTTCTTCGTATGCGATTATTCTTTCTCTGTTCAGAAGAAACTTGTCCCTTCTTCAAGTGATTTTTGATGAGGCCAACTATTTCTCAAGTTCTTGAATATTTGGAGGATAGAATTTATACAATGAATGATAAAAAATACTACTTTTCTTGACTATTTGTTGTGCCACATATTTTTTTATGGAGGGAAAGAAATGAAAGGAGGTTTAATTCCAAATTTAGGAGCATTGCTACTTTGTGCTCTCTAATTAAAATGGTTGTCAACAAAAAACTGGCAACTTGGAACAACATGGATATTTTAAGAGCTTTTGGCCATGCCTAATTTTCTGGGTCTTCTCGTGGGGCTATTATTTTGATTTATGCTGGCTTGGTGACATTGAGGCTTTGATTTATATGTATACCCAAGTTTTGAGTTTATGTTATATCTAGATGGTTGGTGATTGGCCTTGGACAGTGCTGAATCAAATTGCATTCCAATTTGTCACCCCTCGGATGGCCTTCGGGAAACAAGGGGAGTTTTGTGCCAACTTAAATCTTCTTTTTACCCTTTCTTTTATTCTGAGTCCAGGCTTTTTAGCTCTTTTCCTCACTTTTCATGCTGTTCTTTTCCCTTCCCTTTGAGATGGAGTCTATCTTTTGTAGCTGTTTCCTGTTGTTATTTTTTGGTAGCTTTTATAGCTTGTTCTCTTTGTTTTGTTTTTCTCCTGTTATCTTGTAAAATTTTGTGGTTGGTGAGCTTGCTCACTTTTTTGTAGCCGCTCATCTTCTCTTTTATATTGTATAATAGCACTCTTGTAACTTGTTGGTGATCAATACAAGGGCTTTGCCCACATTTTTCCGGAAAAAAAGGGTACGGCAGCAGTAAACTATGGTATTGGCTGCCCTGGGAAATGGCCTTGACCGGAAGCCATACGAGGCATCCATTCAAACTATTGTTGGATTTCATATTCCGAACTTCTGAACACGCACAGAAAAAAATAAAAATTCCGAAAGTTGGAAGAAGACCATGACCTAAAATCTAGCAGTTGAACGACGATTTCCATGAGAATAATGAAATAAATTCGAAAGGTCAATAACACAGAAAAAACAGCCCGAATCATGTAAAAATACATTAAGAAGCGACTTGCTACCTATTTTTTTGCAATTACTGGGGAATGAGTGCCGGACAGGCGTCTGTCCTCTCCATGGCGAAAAAACACGAAGACCCGACTGAGAAGACGATCCGTCAGGATGAAACCCTTGGTTCTTGGAGCTCGAAACTGAGGAAGGAGATGACACATACTGAACTGGTCTTGTCCGGAAGCAGCAGCATGGCGCCACTGCGCCGAGGAGGGCCGCGGTCATAGCTACGAAATTGCAGGCTGGGAGTGTTAAAGAAAACCTGGCCTCTCCTGTTTCCAGTTCTAAATCCGCAGCTCGAGGAAATTCCCGTCAAATAATTCGTACGAAAAATGTGCCCTTTTTTATTTTATTTTCTATGCTTCATAATTGTTAGGGCTGTTAAAATTTAAAAATGTATTCTTTTTTATTAAAAATTTATTCGAATTTTTTTTTTCGAGGCAAAGTTTAGCCTCTTTTAACCACAAGTTATTTATTTGAATCTACAAGTGAGAAAAATAATTTTGAATAGGATTCCATATATTATTGAATAAAGTTTGAATTGAGTTTACCTAACTATAAAATGTGATTCAATATCTTTAATATGGTATAAACATTAGATACAACAAATATAGCACAATATAGCATAAATCATCACTATAATTTAATATAGAGTAATCAATAGAATTTTGATCCAACACTTATATCACAACATAGAGCAAATCCAACAACAATGACATGCCAAAGTTCTATTGACAACTATAACACAATAATTTTGAATAGAAACTACCAATCAAAGATGTTTACAATTATGTTTTACTCAAAATTACATGAATGAAATTTTTTCATCAAAACAACTCAAAAACTTCTAAACAGACATATCAATCTGCATTATTATGAAATGATGAAATCAAATAACTATAACTGAATTATGATCCAATAGTTATACCACAAGTGTTGTGTCCTAGAATATTTGCAATGGTTGAGAGGTGAAGAGCTTTGCGTCCTAGCTTTGAACAAAGACCCAACACATATATAGATAAAGAGAGAGTGTTGCAAGAGTTATAAGTGATATTGTAATCTTCACAGGAAAAAACCTGAAAAGAGAGAAAAATCGCGAGGTCTTGCCCAATTAAAATGAATCCACTAGTTTTTATTGTTAATTACAAATGATGCCCTTCATCGGGAGAAGATGTTGGCTCAATGCAGCAAAATACATCATACCAAGCACTGCATGGTTCTGAATGGACGAACCCAATGTTATAAGAGTGATTCTCAAGAGAGTGTTGGCGTGCTCATTTGGTTGGTAGGGTTGTACTTGGGTGATAGAGATCAAAAGGATCATAGTTGGATGACGGCGATCGAAGAGACTGTAATCAATAGGCAAGGGAGGTCAAAGGAATCGAGTTGGCTAGCAACGAAAGTCGGAGGGACTGTAGTCCGCTGGCGATGGTGGTCAAAGGGACCGTAGTCAGCAGGCGACGATGGTCGGAGGGACCATAGTCGGCTGGAGACGGAGGTATGAGAGACGGTAATATGTCGGCAATGGTAGCCGGAGGGACCGTATTCGATGGACAATAGAGGTCGGAGGGGCCGTAGTTGGCAGGCAACTGAGGGTGGAGGGAATGTAGTCCATGGAAAATGGAGGTCATAGGGATTGTAATTTGGTTATAGATGTTAGAGGGATTGTAGTCGGTGGGCAATGGAGGTCGGAGGAACTGTAGTCAGGTGATAGAGCTCAGATGAAGGCCCAGTGATGATTATTGGATGAAGATCTAATGACAATGGTCGGGAAGATGTCCAAAGTGGTAAGGGTTCAACAGTAGTGGTGTCAAGGTGGAGTTTCAGAATGCTTCAAATCTCAGAGTTCTCTCGAGCCTCTAGCCCAGGGTTTAAGCCTCCAAAAGCTTAACCCCCATAATTCACCTTGATGTAGAGAATATATGTCTATTTATAGATTTTGATAGTTTCATGCTCCATAAAATATGAAGAAGATCCATGGTATTTTAGGAGTGCTTCATCAGACTGCTCATATTATTTCTCTCGATCATGGAGCATTCATTAAGCATTTAATTACTTTAATGATGTCGGAATTAGGAGATCTTGGGCTTATTGGATTCATCTCATCGAGCCACTCGATTCAACTATAAGCATGTTATATTTGGATATCATTTGGTCATCCAATTAATACTTTAAAGCTTTCCAATATGTTTTAAGCCCTTGATTTGAGCTCACGTGGGCTCGGATTGAATCTATTTTGGAGTCGTTGGGTTCGTCTTAAAGACGTTCAATTTGACTATAATTTCACTAAAATTGGAGTTTGGATGGTCTCAAATTTAACTTTGGAAGATGTTAACTTGAATATCTCGAGATTCATGCTCGATCAAGGAAGTTTTTTGGTGACATATTAACCACATTGAGCAAATCAAAATACATTTACCTGCCAAAGCTTTATACAACAACTTTTAATAGAAATGACCAATCAAATATATTTACAATTAAGTGTCACTCAAAACTAAATGAATGATAACAAAAAAATCTATAGAACATTAGACCTATCGATCTGCATTATTATGAAATCGATCTACAAATACATGGCCAAGTATAACTTTTGGAATATGTTTTTTTTTTTTTTCAGTTAGGTAGATTATGTGTTGTATCACATACATACAATAGTCTTTGCTAAATAAAATTAGTAGAATAAACTCATCGAATTATGAGTGACAATATTTTGCATAACTTTTTATTAAAATTTTAAGTGGTTAATCTTACGGTAGACTTGAAACCCTCATCCATGCATGCCCTACTCCACTTTTAATGAGATTTAGATGGAGGAAATTTCTTTCAATAATCAAATAACCCTTACATTTCAATAATATAGTGAAGCACGTACTAAATGATCTCACTATTGCCTGAAAAATTTTCATCAGAGTGCAAAAGGGGTTAATCACACAATGTCATGGTTTGCATAGGTAATGAGATCTTGCATATCACCCATTATATTTGTTAGAATTCATTGAAAATTATATGGGTTATGCATTTGTACAAAACTTTAGGAACTTTACTCCTCTCTAATGATATGAATTAAGGCTTCTTTAGGCCAATTAAAGGGGCCATTCTTCTTTTGTTATATGTATATAGAGATTGTTATTCTATAATGCTAGTCAAATAATTCATATGATCTACAAAGGATTCTGGATAAAACCATATTCACTCTCTTATTAGATAACATATGCTAAGAAAATAAAAATAAAATAGAAGTGTGTTTTGATTATTAAAAAAATATTCTCATCTTATTGTTTAATCATATAGTTGGTGCATTAGACTCTTGAAACTATCTTGCATTTGCACTACCCACTCATTGTGAACCAATCTTTATATCCAAGACTTCAATGAATATAATTTATACTCATCAATTAAGCAAAAGATATAATTATCACATGGATCTATATGTATGTGTTTCTTTCTATGAAACCCATTATGAATGTAAAGCTAAACTCTTAAACAGTAAGGTATCTTTTGATGTAATTGTTAGAATTTTATTTGAAACTTCAAACTTAAGCATGCTCGTATAGAAGCACTCCTATGATGGATGATCTCCTAGAAGTTACACCAATGAGATAAAATCGTAAGGCTATTAGGCCAAACTAGATAATGTCTCGATAGTTAAAAGTTTTGTCATAATAAATGACATCATAGCAATACACCTTCTTAAAGATGGGAACTAAGTGCTCTTATATGCGTGATGGGTGATTCTGGGCTAAAGATATATACAAGGATGCATGCTACTTAAGTGAGGGAGAATATAAAATCCCTTAAGAAAGTGAAGCTAAACTCTCAAATTTTGAGTCCCATTTTAGTGTAAAAGTTAATATTTTATTAGAACTTTTAAAATTAAGCCTACTCTTACAAAAGGCTATTAGACTAAAACAGACAATGTCTTGATAGTTAAGAGTTTGAGCTAATACGCTTTCACCATATCATCCTCATATTTCTCCATCTCCATTAATTTTTTTTTTCACCTCCCCCCCAACTCAATTAAAGGGTTGATTAAGTCATCAGCAAGTGCCTCATCATTATCCTTCTTCTTCTCTCTTTTCATCCTTATGTATAAATTTTTGAATGAGATTGGTTAGAGCATCCAAGTCTTGCTTTGGATAGCGATAGTTTGCCATATTTTGATTATGTCATTAACCCTTTAGATTACGCCATAGTTTGATTACATATGATTACTATTCAACTCCCTATTCTTCTATTTCATAAAACATGTGGTTTTGACTAGTGCAATAACACCCACCAACACCAAGCCACATCATGCATCCACTGTAAACATCAAAATAAAAAAAAAAGATTAAAAAAAAAAAGTTAATTACAAGCGGACATCCTACTACTACGAAGTCCCAATATGATGTTGACTAGTGTGACATTGTACCTCTTAATATAATTGATGTCCCTACATATGAATTTTAGATTTTACATTTACTATGCTTAAAATTTTATAGGCTTACAAATTAAATTGAATAGAATACAAAATAGGTGATTATATGATGATTTATATGACCTAAAAGAAATATCTTCAAGTTGAAGAAGCTTCAAGCAAGGGCATGTGGAGCATTTAAATTCATTAAGAAATTGGGTCATATATATATATATATATATA